ACACACACACACACACACACACACACACACACACACACACTGCCAAATCAAAGCTAAAAATAACATTTGAGTCAATGAGCTTTAGGAGAAACGCCACACTTTCAGCTGACCTGAAATTGTCAAAAGTGATGGTTTCAGCCCAGACTGTTTGCTGCGCAGCAGATAAAGTAGGTCTCTGGGACTGAGGGGCTCAGAAAAACTTGCTTGCTTAAAAAAAAGACGGTGAATGAATAGTTTGGTGCTTGCAGAATAAAGTCCCGTTGGCCGAGTTAAAATCCACTGCAGAGATTTGAGAAAACCGTGTAATGATTTACAGGGGCTTACAAGCAGTCAAAATTGGCATGTGATACTATTTTCAGCATTTTTCCACGATGAAAGCCATTTTAAACATCACTATGGATCTATATGAATATTACTGAAGCCTTGGAGGGGAAAAAAACCCTCCAAAATGTTTGTTTTGCATATTTGGGGATTCTCCAGGTTTATATATTAATTGTTGGCTCTAAATTAAACCTAGGAGGACTTGTAATCATTATTCTGGTTTGTCACTCTGATAGACTTTGGGATGTAGAATATGTCATATAACAGTGACAGTGGATCTGAAGCTTTTTATAACAAGTATCACAGTAAATACGTTTTCCAAAAATCGCTATGCTGACACATTTTATTTTAAAACAGCAGTAGGACTTTCACTTTTGTGGTTTGTTGGGTTATGTTATAAATACAATTTGATCTAAAGAAAATATCAAACTTTGTAAACAATTAAATCCATAAGCTTTTTAAAAACACAAATAGGATGTCTTTTTTTCAGGTATTTCAGCTGCATAACTGGCAACAAACACTGACTCCAGAACTTCTCATTTTAGGAAAAAAATATTTATTTTCTTCTCCTTTAGAAACATCCAATAGAGCCATCAGTGCCACAATAAAATAATTCTCTGAGTCTCATTTCAAATAAACGAGTCCTGGGTATTTTGCTTCTCTCATAAATGTGTCAATGTGTTATTTATTTGCATTAATGCTTTTGTTTTAGTTTTTAAAACACAAGAATTAGAGCATAATTTTATAGTTTTAATCTATCTGATGACATTGTAAAACATTTAATGTGATTTTATCTTCATTTATTCAGTACTTGAATAGCCATGTGAGTGGGTCTCATGCCGCCCGCTGATGAGATGTTTCCCTGGGTAGTTGCCAAGGGCGGCTATATCAGACAATGCCACTGTTCGAAACTGCACATAATAAACAAAATTTTCTTTATTCAAAGGATGAAAACAGAATCACTGGTTGAGCAAAAACTATGTTTCAATATGTCTCAAGTGTTTTTAGTTTGAATAATTTCTTAATGCTGTGCCCCATAACACTTTCTGCTAGGGCAAACTACAAACTTACAGTGCATAGCTAGTGGTTATGATCTGATTCTACGTGGTAAATAGTAGTGGATTATAGGATGTTTGATCGCCAACAACGACGGACGGAGTGGGACTCAAACCAGTAACCTACCGATTAACGAGACGAACGTTCTTGGGTCGAAAGAGAAGAGGCCAGAGTCTGGCTAAATATCTTGACCACAAAATATTTAGCAAACACGGACATTGTATTTAAAGCAGATGTTAGATAACGTCGGAAGGAGACTGCTTCTAATAAATATTAAACGGTGAAAACGCGGGGCATGATGGGAGGTGGCTGCCTTCACTACGACCGGACGATCTGGTCCAATACGTGTGTGTGTGTGTGTGTGCGTATATATCCAGTCTGAACTCATTGAACCTATCTCCAGCGCGCAAAAAAAAAAAAAATGTGCCAGGCTTGCAGCATCCCGTGGACGTCATGGCAACGTGTCGCGCGGCGCTGGCTCTCAGTCAGACTTGCGTCTGTCTGCGCGCGTGCTCGTGTTTATGTGTGAGAATGCGCGCGGCAAGCCGTCTGATATCGTCTTATCCGTAGTAGGAGAGAGAGGGAGAGAGAGAGAGAGAGGGAGAGGAGGGGGGCGGTGCGGCAGAGAGGCATCAGAGGAGCCCGGCGGGGACGTTGCGACTGAGCTCCCGGTGAGGCTGGTGATCACACTACGATGTAGTGACGGCTCCTACGAGAAGAAGTAGGAGACACGCACCGCGGGAGAAGAGGAGCAGCACGCGAATGCGCATGGTACGATGATCGACTCGTCGTAGACCATGGCGCCGTCGGGTCCACGGAGCATCAAGCGGGGCTGTCAGAGAGTCTTCTACTGGATCCCGGTCCTGTTCATCGCCCTCATAGTGGCGTGGTCATACTACGCCTATGTCTTGCAGCTTTGCATAGGTAAGAGCCGGCTGTCTGGGTACTATGAGGATGTGTGTGTGGGAAAGGGGAATACCTCTGTTCTGTCTGGTGTTTTGTCTCTTTTGTTATTGAGGGGGGGAAACGGGTTTAATTTTTGTTTTGGGTCCGAGACTGTTTGGTTTTTGTCTTTTAATGGTGCAGACGCAAACTGGGGCCAAGGCATAAGCAAACAAAGCTGCTAGGTCCCCTGGAGCCCAACAGGGGATGGGTCTTAATAGCAATAATACTGTAATGAAAGTCAGTCAATTGACATTTAAAATGTCCTTTTATTAGAGTTCAGTGTTTTATTTATTTTGTTGTTTATTTGATATTGACAGATACAAAAGTATGTCACAGTGAACATAGCCGTAGCTAATTCACAACATTCGTCCCTAGAAGGGCCTTTAACAGTTAATTAAAATGTAAAGTTCAGATCAGCAGTAAAATAAACAATATTTGTACTTATGAGTACAATTCTGGTCCATCTTTAGTCTTTAGCCTCGAAATGAATATTTTAATGTTTGTTCAAGGTCTTAAAAATTGTGCCTGGAAAAAGTTTTCAGCCCCTTTGAGCTGTTTGCCACATTTCAACCACAACCTTCAATGTGCTTTTCTGTGGTTTTTACTTTCATAGACCAACAGAAAGTAGCATCTGATAGCGTCGTGTAAGGGAGGGAACTAAATGTTATCAAAAACTTTTGTATATAAAAATCTGAAAAGTCTGTCCAGGATTTTTATTTTTATTTTTTACAACAGATCCCTGACTTTTGTAGTGTTTCTGGCTGTGTGGTTGGTGTTGTTTTCCTACTGGAAGGTGAATTTTAAGGTGAACCTGCTCCTTTTGCAGCATCTACCTCTTAGCTCTTACCGACGCTCCTGAAACGTCCCCACAGCATGATACAGCCACCACTTTGCTTACGTTCAAGCTATTTCTCTCTCACCTTCCTCCACATATTGCTTACTACATGGCTTGAGACAAAATTGCAAATCTCAGTTGCCATAGTTCTGTTATCACAGCCAAAAACAACTAGCTTGATGCTATCTTTCATAGGATATTGTATTTCCAGAGCTTTGCATTTATATTCTGCATGGCGATGTTTCTTTGTGTCTGTTACCGTCCTCAGACCACATGTTCATTTTCAGGTTGGGTTTGGGACATCGTGATAGAGGAAGGAAAAATAACGAGGAAAATGTTGTTTTGTGTGTATTTAATACTAATGTACTAATGTTCGGGTAACTCTAACCCTACTTTGCAGCTCCTTTCAACAAAGGACTTTTTTTCTTTCCACCCTTCCATAAAGTTCACACTCGTAGAGCGCGTCATGATCAGTTGTCACATCTGAAGAAAAGCTGCTCCACAGCATGACGCTGCCACCACCAAGCTTCGCGCTATGTGAGGCTTGTGCTTCAGATGAAGGTCAGCTCAGTCCGCTCGAGTTTGTAGTTGCGATGTGACAAAATGCGAAGCTGTTCAGTGAGGTCTGGCTTCCGATTTTAATCTGTTTTTCTTTTCCAGCTTTCTTTTCTAAGGGAAAAAAATGTCAGAATATTTTCAAAATGTGGCTTTTTTGAAAAAAATCATCTCTTCTGAGAGTTGTGTGAAGGCGTGTTAAGGTCGGACAACAAGAATCTTTGATTAATTACAATAATATAGTCAAACAACAAAATTATAAGTATGTTCTGATGAGGGGAAAAAAGCTTAGATACATTGACATCAGTCAGGGTGGTTCCTTTTTCAAAACAGACACAGTTGTTTGCTCAAACTCCAAACTCCTGATATTAGCTATAATTTGATGCTAATGGGTTAAGAGATCAGGTATTTCTATTAAGGATCATATGAACCAAAGTATACTTACATATATGTATATTTATACCAAAGTATAACTTCACAAAATGCCTAATTCCTCGTTTTAATTGTTTGTTATTTTTCATGTTGGAGTTCTCATAAAATTGCGAATTTATTACGACTGTATTCTTGTAATATCACGTTTTTTTTCTTGTAATTTAAAAAAAAAAAAAAAAAGAACGAAAATTTTAGCCTGACCCTAATATTCAAGTCCAAATAAACATAGAATCTGTAAAACAAGATGGCGGTTCTGGGTTTGCTGACGTCATTCTTGATTACGGAAACCCAAGAATTTCAATGGTGGAAAAAAAATCCAGATTTTTCCCCAATAAGAAAAAAAAATCTTCAAACAAAAAAAAATTTGATTAATCAATAAAATCAATTTATTGATTAATTAGCTTTCCCCACCAACAATCAAAATGAGCGTGGTGATATTTATTTTACTTTCTAACGATTTTATCGGTTATTGGACAGCGTACTTTCGATTAATAGTTACATTAGTGGTGCTTAATATTAGCTAAAAAAAAGCCCCAACATTCAATTACTGCCTTCATTACGTGATGACAGTCATATGCTAGCATCTGCAGTTTTTACATGCTGTTGTAAAAACACAAACCGCAGGACAATAAACCAGTGAGGCGCACTTTGTCGACCGGTGCAGCGTGACAGGATATAAGAAACGGATTAGACCATCTGATTCTCCCTCTGCCACTTCATCATCACCAGCTTAAAGTCTTACAGTGAAAGCTTCAGACTCGTGTGCTCACCCCGCACCCGCCGTCCAAATTTATATCCACCAGCACAGACACAATCAGCATTATCTGCTGGCAGAAAGCCGGACCCTTAATGGCTTTCCTGTGCGCGCACCCGTACCGGGTTTCCTGAGTTTACTGGGTTGACCCGGATAGTGATGGTTTTCTAGGATGTCTCGCTCGCGCTCCATTTGGCAGCAAGAAGTCAGAGCGCGTGGAAGGAAAGTCAAAAAAAAAAAAAAAGTGGGGTGGAGGGGATGAAATGGAGACGGTCTAATGAGAGAGGAGAGGATGTTCTGACAGCTTGTTCCCGAAATATTAACCTTCTTCACAGAATCAACTCTGTAGATCAGTGAGCGCTGGAGGGAAATCCAAAATAAACCCTCCATCAGCAGGCTTTGTTTTTTTCTTTTTTTCTTCTGTAAACTGCGTTTCCTTCGCATGCCTCGTCACAAGACTGAAATTGTGATGCATTCAGGTCACACAGATGAAAACAACAAGCAGCTGCTCCGGGGGCCCCATCTCACTCAGCAGCAGACAGGACACACAGAGTCGGTTGTGTGAAAGTATCATCAGCTGATGCTCCTCCGATCACTTAATCCCATTGTCTGGTTTGCATAACTCGCCTCCAGAAATCTGCGGTTGACCTATTTTCCGTCAAACGATACCAAATAGCATCAGCATCAGCCTTTGAACCGAGCACCTATCAGGTGGAAATTTGGTTGTCGGAGATTAAAAAAAAAACCAGAATGTATTTGTATCGCTTTTACAGACATGTCAATATAATATGCCTTTAAAGGAGCGACATTGTATGTTTTCCAGGCCCATTGGTGCCACTTTATAGCACAATCAAGTATATTAACTTCAATTGTTATAAAAATACTATCTCAAATGTTGCTTAAGTAAAATTTGGCTTTGTAATTTAACACCTTGAGATTGGGCCTCTGTCTCTTTAAGAAGCTCCTGCTCGTTCTGAAACTCTGCCCTCAGGAAGTTGTCACAACTTGACTCCTCTATTAACCCTTTGAGAAACGTTTTTTCCATTGTTGCATTGAGAAGTAGCTCCTATAATGAGCTCAGCAGTTCCACCAGGTGTTTGCTAATTGCTGCTGGCTAGTCTGAAGGAGCAGAGTGGGGGAGTCGCGTGAGAGGGCTGCTCTGTTGAGAGGGAAGCTCTGAAGGAGGACGAGCTTCGTCTTCAAAGGCGGGGCTAGGTCTAACCAGGCGTTTTGCACAGCTGAGTGGTTGCCATGGAGATTAAAGGCTTTCTCAAACAAGCATGAAAGAAACAAAATAACACTCCAGGTATATTTTTGATGAGGGAATAACATTATAACGTGATGTAAAGCTAAAAAGAGTTGATTTTAGATGATACTGACCCCTTTAGCCTCACACACCTTTTCTTTCGTTTCCACGTTTGCTGCAGAGGGCCGCCGATGTACTCGATAAACCGCGTTCACTATTCCTCCTACAGCTCTCCACCAAACGAAGCGTTCGTACGTCTGCCGGGTTTTCTAAAGGAATAATATTAGAGGCACATTTTCCGAGAGACTCACTGAGTCAAACTGACCAGCATGTTGCATATTGATTTTGTGTCTGACCATACTGAGCTCAGGAACCGAAGGCTCCACCAGCTCAGCGTTTATTCACTTCCACCTCTCTGAAGTCAAAACGCTTGACTTTTCCTCCAGCAGCGCTGCGCTCACCCACTGCATATTTCCTCACGCTGATTGTCTTTTTTTAATGGTTTGTTTTCCAGAATCCATCGAGGACACAGGAGAAAAGGGTAAGAGATCTACGAGACAATATTCTCCCAGTCGAAAAAAGAGAGCGGAGCTCCAGCTTCAAAGATAATGTGGTAGTTGGTCACAACTAATTAAATTAAATTTATCAAACATACTTTATTTACATTTATCTAACATGACAATTTCATAAATTGACTTGGATTAACTTAATTTTGTCACTTGTGACCAGTTATTGCAACATATTTAGGTTGGATCAACTGTTTTCTTTTTTCGGGCGTTTAGCCACGATAACGCTTTAGGTATGATGATGCTTTCCCAAAGTATTCACACCCTGTGGACATTTCCTTAATTTGTCATGTTACAGAGATTTTTGTGAGAACTTCATAGAACAAACAGCAACATGCACTGAAAAAAAAAACATATATTTGAAAAATCTTTTAAAAAATCTCTCTATTTTGTTTATGCTAATTTGATTAGTTTTGCTCAAATTATAATTCTGATTTGATTGAAGATTTGATTGGAATTCAACACCAGATGGTACCCTGTAAAAAAACCAAAAAGAAAATTAATGTCAATGTTAATTTTGAAACAGAAAAAAAATCTAACTAAATAACAAAGTGGGGGAAAAAAAGTTCAAAACTACTTTTCAAATTTTGGCCTTATTTAAGTTTCAGATACTTTTTTTTTGTTTGAATTTTTTTTTTAGCAAAAAAAAGAAAGAAAGAAAAACAAAAATGAGCAAACATTTTTGGCCCCAATTTTGTTCCATACTATTATAAATACAATAACTAAACTATGGTCAAATCACTGCAAAAAATAAAAAAATAAATTCCCGCAAAAAATCATCTGAAAGCTGTTTATATTATCAACTGCAGTATTTCTTTTATTGAAAACTGAGTTGGCCTTACAATAATAGATGGCTTTTAAATAGGTTTTAGATATGTTATTCAGTAATCTTTAAACACTTTATAAACCATTAATAAATGTTTATTGTTATGCATTAATTAAGGGTGAGAAGGAGACAAAATCTACATGTTTCTTGCCAAGGTAATAGTGAGCCAAGTCAGTTCAGATATAATTTATATAGAGTTGTTAAACATTTTGGATTACCTTGTAAACATAATTCTTTAGCTTATACTCTCCTTCTCACCCTTAATTAATGCATTCTAACAGTCATTAATGATTTATAACGTGTTTATAGATGCATGGGTAACATATAACCTATCTTTTAGCCATCTATAAGTGGTATGGCTGAGTTCTACAGTAAACCATGAATACTAGGCATTGAATGCTAATAACTGTGTAATAACTGAGGTTTCTCCTAAGAAGCAGAAGACGTGGTAACACCGTAGAAATTCCCACTGTGAACACGGCCACACACACACACACACACACACACACACAGACTGTTGTTCCTGTCGGTCTGCTTGCAGTCGTCTACCTGCTGGCCTACCATGCCATCTTCATCATGTTCGTGTGGGCGTACTGGCAGACCATCTTCACCAAACCCATGAACCCCCTGAAGGAGGTGAGTTCGTCCGGTCGGGATGATGAAACGCTGCAGGAAGCGGCTACAGCCCCCTGCTCTCATGTGATTGAGAGCTCCATTTAAACTAATAATGCTTCCTGGTAGGAGCGCCTGAAGCTGCTGCACTTTAATGGCTGTGATTCTGACCGCAGAGTGAGCACATGAACACATCCCACCGCTGCGTCGGCTCACATATGAGATTCTTCTTTATGAGATGTAATCGATCGATCAGTGGAGGTTTCGTCCACCTTAATAAATTCTCTCCTGTTATTATCATCTCGGTTATTTGCTTCCACTGTTCAGTCACATATATATATTTTCTGTCAGTAATGTCCAGCCGGCTCTGCGCTTGTGGCACAAGCGGGTCAGAGAGCTGAGCTTTGTCTCTCCCCTCTGCCCCGCGTAGTTTCAGCTGTCCCACTCTGACAAGGAGCTGCTGGAGCGCGAAGATCGCGGAGAGTCCCAGCAAGAGATCCTGAGGAGAATAGCCAAGGATCTGCCCATCTACACGCGCACCAACTCCGGAGGTAACGACACGCTCCACGAACGAGCCTTACGGGGTTCCGTTACTGCCAAAAATATACGCAGCCCGGCCCGGCTCGGCCTCTTTGGGTCAAGGGCTAAGAGAGGCAGCGGCGGCTGATTACTGAGTGATTGAACTGACTGTGTCTCCTCAGCGATTCGTTTCTGTGACCGCTGCCAGCTGCTGAAGCCTGATCGATGCCACCATTGTTCAGTCTGCGATAAGTATGCCTCCCCCGCACCTCCGCAGCACAGATCATATAACAATATAGCGCGATAGCATGCTGACAGGAGGGGTCCAATTTAATTACACTGATGTCGACTCGTGCTGTGTTGCAGATGCATCCTGAAGATGGATCACCACTGCCCCTGGTACGTACCGCGCCGTCGCCCCGACACCGATGCACACAAAACTATTTATTGAACGTCACTTTCCGTTTGCGTTCGGACTAGCAGGGGTTTTCCGTAACGCCGAGCGCAGAGCCTTGTGAAAGTGTTCACACCCCTGGAGCTGTTCCACAGTTTGTCACATGGCAACTGCCAGTGGCGGCTCTAGGAAATGTTTTATAGGCGTGAGGAGACTAAGCCAGAAAAATTTTGAGGGAGTGAAGGTTAATAAGAAAAGAAAAAAAAAACGATATATAAATGTATGTGTACACATATACGATTATATTTTTTATTTTATGGATTTATTTGTCGGATTTTACGTTTTGTTTTCATTTTACCTCATCATAATTGCTCACGTTGTATTTTGGCTAAATTGAGACACCTGCAGGTATTCAATCTACTTTCACTGCTACTTCCTAATTCCCCTTGTCTTCGCCCTATCGGAACATTTGTTTCAGTCCAAAATCCATATAGTTTTTTCCCCATATTTTCCAAAAACTACTCAATTATAACTCTGCACACCTGTCTCTGATTCCTTTGGAGGGTAGAGATGGAGTGAAATGCAGGGCGACCCTGGAAGCAAACGAGCAGCAGGACAACAACACCGGTCATAAAGCCACAAAATGGCCCAGTCAAAGTCCACACCTAAATCCAAATGAGAATCTGTGGCAAGAAATTTGACGTGTCTTGTGAGTGCGACCAGACAAAATGTGGAAAAGGCGTATCGATACTTTTGTAAACACACTATTATTATAGCAATTCAAACGCAGCCAGAGGACTGACTGTCTGCAGAGGGGGAGAAATCCAAGCTGAGTTCAACATGAACATGATCTGCTCTCTGCTGAGTTTTTAACCAAATCGTTTGTTCAGATGAAACTTTGTTTGCTCTCGAACCAGCAAATAATCCAGCAGGATAAACTGAAACGGCAACAGGCTAACAAATGTCTTGCTTAGCATCTCGTTGGGGGATGTTTAAGCGTCCGGGTTAATCCTAACGACCTTTCTTCATCGTCTGTCTGCAGGGTCAACAACTGTGTGGGATTCTCCAACTACAAGTTCTTCATGCTGTTCCTGGCCTACTCTCTGCTTTACTGCCTTTTTATTACCGCCACAGATCTCCAGTACTTCATCAAGTTCTGGACAGTAAGTACAGACAAATCGGCACATTCATCCCGTAAAACGTCTAAAAAAAACCAGCAGAGTGTACTGTGTTGTGTTGTTTTGTTTCATAATGTGATGTTTGATCTTTTCAACAAGGCTGGAGGTAGAGCACATTTCCGTCTGAGAGAGTACCTGGTACGAACCACGCAGCTCGTTAGCAATGCACTAAATTAGAAACTGGAAACAGTGGCACGCAAAAGTTTGAGCTCCCCTTGAAATATTTGGCTTGTATTTTTTTTTTTTAGCCTTCTGTTTGAGCTGCGGTTTGTTGCTGTGCTGCAGTCAGTGACATTGAGAACTTCTCTCTGCTAGAGGAAGACGGGGGTTTTCACCGGATACCTGCAGAGTTTGGAAGGGAGCATCACGCCATCTGGAAAATAGATGGAGGTGCCTGTTCCAGCTGACAGCAAAGGGCAGGACGGCCCGTCAGAAACAGCTCATAGTTTTGCTCGACAGCGAAAGAGATTCTGTTCAGGGGAACCAAACTTGTCTGTCGCTGTGTAAAGAACTCTATGGAAGCCCATTTTCAACACCAATTAAAAGGATTAAAAAGAACAACAACAAATTATTAAGCATGCTATAACTGTGAGATTGCATCTCACAAATATTACTTATCGTTTTTTTATTAAATACTGTCAAAACTCTCAGATGCTTATTATTAATTACTGTTTTAAGACAGTAATTAATCATAATTATTAACAATAAGCTTTGAAGTGGTAAAAAAAAGACTAGCATATTACATGTTGATTTTATTTTTAACATAAATAGGTAGTAATTTAAAACTAATGTCATGCGTATGGCTAATTAGCACATGCTAAGTAGTAGCTTGCTGGTGAGCAAATGCATGCTAGCCTTATTTAGCTTGTACTGAGTGATGCTGTAAGTTGAAAATGACTTAGACTGCGATGCTCATTGCTTCTCTAATCCTCACTGGTCTTACTGGTCAGTGATGCTGACGTAGTTTGTCTTAATTTGAAGAATAAAGGACAATGACGAACATCTTAAGTCACAGCGTTAGCCAAAAGGTAAAGCTGCGGTGGCTTAAAGCTAATTTTAGCTTTTGCTAGATGCTAACCAGCGTACGGCTAACACGATGGCTGCACTAAAGACAAGATATGCTCAGCTAATTAGCCATTTGCTGAATACCTTGAGTAAAATGAAGCTCTGCATCAACAGGATGAGTTGAAGTTACACAAATCTCTACCATTTCTGCGTGACGTTGGTGTGGATTTGTATTTATTTGAATCCGTACAATATAAATGTGCGCTGTGGTTTCAAACTTATTTATCCAATTCTTGTTCTATGTTTCAGTGAAGTTGTTTTATTTAATTCTCCTCAATGGGAACTCTTTGGCTCATTAACATGACAGTTTGTAATCAAATGAAATCTTTAATAACGGCACTTTTAATTATGGCTTCGCTGCTCATATTTAAAAAGATAATATCTCCTAATTAAGGTTTTTCCTTTTGGAGCTGGGCTTCCACAGGGACTCTGTAGGACACTGAATCTCTAATTCCCGTAGGTCCAGCCAGTCTTCTGCCCCTCAGAACCAGTGGGTTCATGGTAACGTTCTCCGTCTTCCTCTCCAGAAAGGCCTCCCGGACACCCAGGCGAAGTTCCACATCTTGTTCCTCTTCTTCTCGGCCTCCATGTTCTCCATTAGCCTGGCTTCTCTCTTCATTTATCACTGCTGGCTCGTCTGCAAGAACAGATCCACGCTGGGTACGTCTCGTTTTCAGCCACAGCCACCATCCGGGCCAGATTGGGGCGGTAGCCCAGGGCTGCAGGTTTTTGGGGAAGGCAATTTTTTTGTATGATAAAAAAAATTACACAATTATCAGTTATGAAACCAGAAACAAACATTAAGTTGTCAAATGCCATAATCAAAATCAAGAATAATGAGAAAATATATGTTAAGTATATTAGTCAGTGATTCAATTATTAATCAAAGACAAACTCTAAACAAATAAGGGGTTTTAGCCTTGATTTAAAGGAACTTAGTGTTTTGAAGTTCTATGCACTAGATTTGTGGTGCATAGAAGCTGAATGCTGCTTCTTTATGTTTGTTTCTGGTTCTGGGGATGCAGAGCAGAACCAGAACCAGAAGCAGAAGACCTGAACGGTCTGGAGGGTTCAGACAGCAGCAGCAGATCTTTAATGTATTTTAGTGCTGAGCCTCTCAATGATTTATAAAATAACAAAAGTATTTCAACGTCTATTTATTCTCCGAGCTACAGTTTATTGAAAAAAGAGAAAGTCGCTCCAACATTAAAATACATCATGTGCAATCAAATTAAGTTAGTTAAACTTAATTTATTTACGCCTGTTTAACAAGACAACCGCATAAACTTAATATATTTATTTGGATAAGCTTAGTTTGGTTACTTGCAACAAATGAACTCAGTTTTTTAAAGTCGGATCAACTGCTTTCTTTCTCCTACTGTTTGTGACAAAAAAAGCATGTTGATAAATTTTTGTGAATTTAAACACTGAAATATTAGAAAATGTATGACAATATAGCATATACTTTTGACACCAACTCGGAGCAATCAGTCGGACATTTTAAACCAATAATCCATCGGTTTGTGAACTGCATGAGTAAACTTATTTTTATTTTATTTTTTGGGCTAGGGCACCAAAACCTGCTCCAGCCCAGGGGCCCTCATTCCTCTAAATCCGGCCCTGGCCAGGACCTCCGGTTACATCCGTCCTCCTCGACGCATCGGAGATGGAGAGATTTAAATTGTATTTATATACATTTTTTTTCGTTTCTCATTAGAAGCGCACAGTGGCAGGCATTGTCTCGGTGCGTCGATGAGAGCGGATTACCCAGAGGACCGTGTTACAGCAGCATCACGCAAAGACGCACGGCTCAGAGTCGTAAGCCGCTTAGAGACAGACACCGATACGGCGTCCAGAAAGGCAAAACGTCACACCTGGCGAAACAGCCGTCAGAGCAGCGCAACAAAGACGCTTTGGTTCAGAGGAATTTCACTGAGCGAGGGTTAGGGCTCCCCCTGCTGACCCGGAGTCGCGTCATCAGTCGGGCGTCTAAGCAGAGCCAGTATGCGTTTGCTCATCTTTTCTCCTTTGTCTGTCTGTCTGTCTGTCTGTCTGTCTGCCGTTTCAGAGGCAGTGCGTGCTCCCGTGTTTCGTCACGGCACGGACAAGAACGGCTTCAGCCTCGGTTTCACCAAGAACTTCCTCCAGGTGTTTGGGGATGAGGCCAAATACTGGCCTGTTCCCGTTTTCTCCAGGTGAGATCATCCGTCAGCCAGTTGAAGCCGAACGGTTTTAAAAGTGTTTGTGATGTGTTTTTTTCTCTCTCTCTCTCTCGGTGTACTCTGGCTTCCAACCAAAGTACAAAACCATGACTGTTTAGTGAATTGGGTTTTTTGTCTTTAAGTCTGTGTGAGTGCAGGGGCTGCCCTAGACTGTTTGGTGCCCTGGGCTAATGTGTGCCACGCATCATTTTAAAGAAAAATGAAAGTAACCAGAATAAAAATATAAACACAGATGGCACAACGCACAAACAACAAAAGTAAACAACACAAATACAGAAAATGAGTACAATTAAAATAAATTACACCAATGTATACTACAGTTGCATTTTGAACAGACTCAAATTTCAACGCACAACTGTCAAATAACATACATTTTAAAAAATAAAACAGATTACACTGTTACACTTCAAGAAACATCAACTGTTATTATTAATAGCGGTATCATGTATTTTCCAGGCACACAGTGTCATTTTACAACACAATCAAGTAAAAATCAGTTGCTATAAAAAGGCTGTTTATATCAAGAATGACTTAAATAAAATTTGATGTATTTTAACGCCTTGAAATTGGGCCTCTGTCTCTTTAAGAGGCTCCTGCTCTTTCTGAAACTCCGCCTTCAGGAAGTGATCACAGCATGGTTCCTCTATTAAACATTTACCAACGGTGTTTGCTAATTGCTGCTGGCTAGTCCGAAGGAGCTGAGGGGGGGCAATGCGAGGGAGGCTACTCTGTGAGGGAGAAGCTTGGAAACCTGAAAAGTGCAGCTCAGAGGAGGAGCTTCGTCCTCGAAGGTCCAATGAGTCGTTTTTCACAGCTGAATGGTTGCCATGGAGATAAAAGGATTTCTCAAACATGCATGAAAGAATCAAAGCGACACTCCAGGTGTGTTTTTGATGAGGGAACAACATCATAAAAATTTGATTTAGCATAATTCTGCCCCTTTAAGGAGACTGTTTCCAGCTCTAATGCCCCGATCACCCGACCTCATTCCTCTGCTAATAGTTTTAGTTTTATTTCAGCCCTCTGTCTGGCTGCTGATCTGCTCCGCTCCAGATCGACCTCAGCATCAGAAACGTCACATGACTCCACAGAAGCCTCAGCGCAGCAGTCAGATCAAAGTTTTCCCCCGTCGCGCTCCGTCGGCACGATCTTGAACGTCCCACCGAGTGATCTCATAAGACAAGCTCGTGTTTGATGAGCAGATGGGGGATTTTGTGTTCAGATGGAGCAGCTTATGCTGTCAGCCGGTGAAGAGCCTCTGCATGCACATTACAAGCTGCCAGACGAGACGAGTCAGGGGCGTTTTTCATCCTTCACCCGCCGCCCCTGTTCTCCTTATAATCCTCGTTGAGGTGTAATAACTTACAGATGTGGACACTCTGTTTTATGTTATAGAATATAAGCAGGGCCTGCAGAAGTGTTTATACTCTTTGAACTTTTTCACATTTTATCACGTAACAAATCCAGATATCAATGGATTTTATTGGGGGGGGGGGCATTTTATTTAACACTGCACTCTACACACGACGTCACCATGGTGAAACATGGCAGCGGCGGCGAGTTGATCAGAGCAGATAGAAAATAGAAAAACAGGGGAAAAAAATTCTTCAACAGCCTTTGAATCTGTGGCTGAATTTGAGTTTGCACATCACACTTAGAAATTACCATCTGGAAAAAGATTTATTTAGACGCGGGCGCCATTTTACTTTCACTTAAAGTTGCATAAAAATAATTTTTTTAACATATTGATTAAAATTGTTATTATGATGTGAAAGTTTGATATAAGACAGATAACGTGTGAAAAGAAATCTAACTTCTCTACAGAAATCCGCCACTCAGTCAGAAAGAACCAATCAGAGACAGGGTTTTTTTTTTTTTTTTTTGAGCGCTGGCAATCATACTAGTGTATGAGCTGTTCTCTGCTACGCTACAGCTGGTTCACCATAACGTAGCCCCTCTGCATGATGGGAGATGAACAGTTTTCCTGTAGCAGTAAGGTGTTTCTCCGCGATTAGCACATTAACAGCACGTATACGAGCATGATTGGCACAGATAAGTCCCTCCTCCTGGCTCTGATTGGTTGTTTCTGACTGGGAGCTGTGCACTTCTTCAGTAGAGGAGGTGGAGGATTTTTTCAAACTGTCTGACTCATAGTCACAACATGGTGACAGTTTTAACAAATATGTAACAAGAAAACATTTAGGTAAAAATGACACACTGTGTGTTGGTCTATAAAGTCCCAATAAAACACTGTGAAGTTTGTGGTCGTAACGGGACAAACGTGAAAAGGGGAGAGAATTCTTTCACGAAGCATTTTATTGAGTCTCACTCTGTCAGATTCCCATTTTCACAACGGCTCCCTAAATGTCAGCAATCTGCAGGAATTCAGACATATATACAGTCTAACTGATGTATATTTATACATGTGTGAATGGAGTCTGTGTTCAACCTGGAGCTATCTGAGCCCGGCCACTTACTGTCTAACAAAGTGCTTCAAACGACTGAAAGTCCCTGCAAAGCGCTGCTGCTCAGCATCAGCATCAGCATCAGCGCTGTAAATCAATACAGAGGCTGCAGCTCAGCAATCTCACTAATTCCTGCTGACAGAACGAAAAACACTCTGATTGTATCACTACTGACGTTCAGGTCTAGATTTCCCTTCGGCTGTAAAATCTATGATTTAAGTGTGTCAGGGACTTCTCGCATTTGACAGCTGAAGTGAATATAACGCCGCAAATGAAATACTGAACTCTTTTGTTACGTTCATACACATGTAAGCTGCAGGAAGAAATAACTTTTTTTTTTTTTTAATCATTAATGCTACCTACTTTTTTCAGAGTTTTCTTTGTTCATTATATAAATCTGGACATTTTTATTTTCTGCTTCTCTCTTTGCTCCTTTATGCAATAAGAAGAGAACGTAAACTATGCGTGTTTGTGCAGTGAGCAGGGCCGGATTCAGAAAGATAAGGGACCCTGGGCTAGAGTCAGTTTTCGTGCCCTATCTGAAAAGAAAAAAAAAAAAAGCATTTAATTCATGAAAATTACAGCACATTAATAGGTTGGCCCACACATAAGCAGGTTTAAAACCATGTTGGTCCCATAAAGATCTAATTTAAGGTCAGAGTTTTCAAATGTGTGAGTTTGTATACATCAACATCGTATAATTGTATAATGAGTTTCATATAAGTTATAATGTAAAGCATACATTCATTACAAAAAAATTCAAAGTCTTTGGCGCCTCCCTATAAACTTGCTGCTGCCCCTACAAGCCATTTTGAAATTTCAGCCCAGGAGGGTGAAAGTAATGAATATAAGACCAGAGTTAAAATAGATCATTTGATTTTTATGTACAGTATCAGCAGCTCTTCTTCCTGTGTTGTCTGTACAGTTTAGGTGACGGATGCTCATTCCCGACCTGCCTGGTGAATCTGGACCCTGAGCAGCCGTCGTCTCCCTCTGGATCCAGCTCAGCCAGCAAGAGGTGACTGTTTTACTCTGTCTCACTTAAAATCCAAGAGAATAAAGACAAATAATGAAATGAAATTGACTTTAGGTTTCATCCCAGCATACAGAACTATTTTATTATAAACAGTTTTATTAGTTTGTGTGTTTTTCTTTGTCTTTGTAGTGCAGCAGAGGGCCGCCAGTTCCCGTCCAAACCGCTCCGAGAGAGCCAGAGTCGACTGCTCACCAGCACCCCCTCCTGGTCAGAGAGTGAAGGTGCAGGAGACAAGGACAAGAAGGGCAAGGCCACGGACACTGTGATCTTTGCAAAAATATTCTTTGCACCCCTTTAACACTTCCACATTTTGTCACGTTGGAGCCCAAGATTTCAATAAATTGTGATTTTTTTTATTTTTTACAAACCAACACAAAAATGATGCATCTTAGCTGCTTGTCTGATTTTTTTTAAAGTGAAAAATGTAGAAAAGTTCAAGGGGGATGAATACTTCTGCAACTTTTTCTACTTGTTGTTTTACCTCACTGGAGTGTTTTACGTGTGTTTATGTCTGTGTGTTCAGGTGCCAGTAACCCAGTGATGACCATTGAGAACGAGGCGTAACAATGACCACACATGACCAGAAATGTAGGTAAACATGATCCCAACATTAAAACCACATCATCATCAGTAACTGTTTTCATCCTCCAGGTCAATGCTGCCCTCCTCCGTGTTTGTGCCTATCAGAATTCGGCGTGATTGGCGGCGACGTCTGCCGTCACGCAACGCGACTCGACCGACGAGCGGTCCGGGATTTACCGCTGCCGTCAGAAAGTCAAGTGGACGAAAAAAAAAAAAAAATGGAGATTGCATTCCAGTCATCTGCTCTTCTTTGGATGTAAATAAGCACAGAGATGCCGTCGAGAGGATTGCATTTTGTTTTCTAACTCAGTCGGCTGCTTTTTTCTTTTCTGTTGCGTTCAAGAACCACCTGCTGCTGGTTTCCCTCAATTCTTTGGCACATCAAGAACAAAACAAAAAAAAAAGAAAAATTGCTGAGCGATATCAACGCGCTCTTTCTGACATTCCTTTCTCTTGTGAAATGTTTGTTCTTTTCGTTTCCACACGCATCATGGTGAGTATTGTGAACGTGAAAGAGTTGCATGCTCTCATCTCAGGATGTCGACGCAAACACAAGCTGGTAACGACATAAAAGAAGAAGAAATTGTAGTAATTAGTAATTACTTTCAATATATATTTTTTTTTTTTTAAGAAAAAGGGCTCTTCTGACTCTGAGTAGCCTGAGTGAGGATGTCACTGAAACATCTGCTGGAGCTCAAAGCCTGGAGTTCATGTCTCACTGCTGCCCAGACGCTTCCCGACTGTTTCCTCTCCTGGACGGAGTTTCTGCAACCGGCGACGACCGACCGCCGTGGAAAAGCAGAGACTGTTCAGTGATTGGCTGAATTATTGGAAGAAAAAAAAAGTCCTGTACAGTCACTTTAGGCTGGGAATGACTATGTTATTAAACTGTAACTCAATAGTACTTTCAAGAATGTACACTTTGAAAAGCTTCGTTGTGACATATATTTTTCTATCTTTCTGTCTGTGAGACGACGTGGATGTTGTGAGGCAGGCGATGTAACAGCTGAGATGCCTTATGGGAATAAAATGAGTTCATCCTCTGTGTCGGCGTGTTTGAAGATTTCAAGATTTTTTTAATCAGAAATGAGGGTCTACTGAAAATTATGCACTCAGTTCTTGGTCTGGGCTCCTTTTACATCAGTGCAACAATTAGCGACTACAGTTTTAATCCGTTGAGCCCATCTTGACCTGTCCTGTGAGGAAATACCTAAAACACCCTGCAGAAATATTAAATATTACCAAGTATTTTTGGTTTCTAGAGCAAACAACGGAAACGCTTTTTTTTTTTTTTTGACACCGTCATAAACATAACACCTGCTATGAACATGAAGGAGTCTTCATGGATGTTTATACCTGATGTCATTAAGTGTCAGTCGGCAAATAATTACACTTTTAATGCAATGTTGCTTTAAAAGTCCATTAAAAGTGCCAATTTTGCATTAAAGTCTCATTATTTACAAAATCGTGCAAAGTTGGCGCTTTTCATGGACTTTTAAACTTTTTTTGCATTATGTCATTATTTTCCGAATGAAACTTCATGACATCAGTCATAAACATTCATGAAGACTCCTTCATGTTCATAGCAGGTGTTATGTTCATGACAGTGTTAGGAACAAATAAGTGTTACCCAAACACCTTACCACACTTGAAATAAGACAAAAATAACAAGCAACTTTTCAGCAACATAGACTTTTTTAAGTCAACAATTCCTTAATATTAATGAAAAAGTACTAATTATAAGTCGATGAGGTGATTTGGACTCTGTAGTTGTATCACCATATTTTGTGATGAGTATTTATTGCTTCTTTTTTAGGTGACTGTACAGCTGTGACTGAACCCACAAAGTAATAAAACATTCCAGTTTGTAATGTGACTCATATCAGACACATGATATGCATCATTAAGTGCATTTATAAAATGTGTTGATATTTACTGATGCTCACTGAACAAACGGTGGAGAAAACAGTAAAAATAATTCAGACCACACGGACAGCATTTGGGTTTCTCAAACATTACTTGGAATTGATCATAAAAAGGATGAATCACACTTCATAGAAGAAACTGTGAATGGATGATAAAGAAAAGTAATGTCTAATTTTTATTGGTCAATTTCCAGCAAATTTTTTTACTATTTTTGTCCATTTCAAGTTATTTCAGGGCCCCTTGGAGGCTTTTCTGTCATTAATAGAGACGTAACAACAATTTGATCCATATAATAATAATAACCTTTATTATTATTATAGAAACCATGCAATAAGTTACATGGACTACAACTAAATTGGGTGATAAATGTAGTTTAGCCCTCCTGGTTTTAATTTATTTTGAAGTTCTGTTAAGCACATTATTCTGTTATAAAATGGTTTTATGAATGACTGATGTCTGTGGTTTGGCTTTACATCCTTTTCTTTCAAACTTTTTTCCTTTCACTCAATTTTCCATTAATATCCCTAAATACAGAACTGTCACTTTCACTACTTATTAGACTTTCAGTGTATCCATAAGTGGGGTAAGACTCCATCGAGGGTTTAGCATAAAAGTCTATTTTTAATCAGATCAATTCTAATTTTCTGAATCTAAATTTTGGTTTTAATTATTAAACAAAAAAAATAATAATCCAGAAACAACCCCTTGAAATACTTACTTAGTTATATTCATCTCTTCAAATTCAATTACTACAATGAACTTTCCAGCGGTTTATTTAGATGACAAAAAGATTTCACTGCCGAGAACTGTTTTTTTTTCTTTTTCCAGTAGAAAAATTTCAAGCCTTTATTTACAAAAAAACATCTAAAAACATTCCTCTCTTTATGTTGCATATTGTTTTTTTTCTTTCTTCTTTACAGTGTGAGAGATGAGCTGCAGAAAAAGGAAAGGAAGCGCATGTCACGTTCGGAGGCAGAGGTCAATAAGAAGCTGCTAACCTACGACCTTAACACGCCTAGAAGCGGGATGTGGGAACCGATCAACAAGTCCGCTTCGAGTCCGACGTTTTGAAAAGCATGCGGTCCGCTCTGCGCCCGAAACCGGACGACGCTACAGGAAGGAGGCATTCCACAACTCGAGTGGTGTTAACTACGAAGAAAAGGGCTTGTTTTTTTTTCTCCCCTCCTTTTTATTCCGTTAAAACAATAAAAGAAAAACGAACTCTGTTCAGAGTAGTTCAGGTTGACGTCAGCATGTCCTACTGGGTTTGTTTAATGGGAAAAGCTGCTTGTGTCACTGGTTGATTATACAGAGCTCATGCATCTGACTATGTGTGCGTCTGTCAGCGAGAGCGTTTACACACACAGACACGCACACACACACGCACGCACACACACACACACATAAATGACACGCATTCCTCCTGGTGAAAAGCATCTGGATACATGCTATTCGTACGACAAGGAAAAAAACAAAACAACAACAAAAAAGACAGAAATGATTGAATGAGGAGACGCTTCTCACAGTGAAATCAGAGCTTATTCAGGTCGGTACAAACATTCTCGTCACGTGAACAAATCAAGAACAAAAGATTCAAGTGTCGGCGAACACACACTCGGTGAGGACTTCCGTCTCGATCCGTCCGGATTTTATTTTTTGTCGTTTAGTGTTGAAAAGGGTCACTAGTCAGCGTAACCGGCACAATAAATTAAAAGGTTTAAAAGAGAAGAATGCAGCTAGTGTTAAGGCCGAGCGTGGCGAGAGCTGCTTTCGCGGCGGTGGGAGAGTTGACATGTTCGCGATGTAAAAAAAAACACAAAAAAAAAACAGGAACACGGAAGGCAACGGAGAGGAGACGGAGACGCACCGCAAACGTGTTCAGCGTTCCGTATAAAATCAGGGTTAGAGCTTCTTCTTCTTTTGTTTTTTTCTTGCTTTTTTTTTCTTTTGTAAAGTGCAAAAAACATGTCTGCAGAACACTTGAGGGAAAACTAAAATCCCATCTTTTCAGGCATGTTCAAACCGAACCGAACCGAGCCGAGCGTCATCTTGGCGCCGCCTCGCAAGGGATAAAAGGCTAAACTCGCGCGCATGCGGCTCGCGGTGCGGACGAGGCTTCTTTTCCGCTCGTCTGAGACGGGCGCGGCCGATGGGGAAGAAGAAGACGACAAAACAAACAAAAAAAAAGACAGCTAAATAACGCGAATGTACGTCGGTGTTTTTGTTCCTCCGTTATCGTGGTGGAACCGGCTCGCCGCCTCGGAGCCGGGCCGGACTTTGGGACGGTGGGAGACTCCGGCGATGTCACGACTGCTGCTTGTTGGCCTCCTCTTCGTAGGCGTTTCCCGTTCCGTTCTGCACGTAGGCGGAGCCCGAGCCCAGACCGTACAGGTGGCCGCAGTACTTCGCATCATCGATGTGATCCTCGAAGAACATCTGGAGGGAAGAAGGGCGGACAGCGATACAGATGTGTGATTACGTCATAGACTGGGAAAAAATAAAAACAGTTTGATAGTCACGAAAAAAATTATCAGCAGAAACAACTGGGACTAGCTACCAATTAGCGTATCGGATCTTTAATCAATTAATCGGATAAAAGAATGTGCACGTTCTGCAGATTTTTACTTAAATCTTTTATGTAGAATATAAAAAAACCCACAAATGTAATTATAATTTTTTTTTGCCTATAATACAGTAACTTGGCATTCCTTTGGTGCTTCATCATTTGTAGCATCTGCAGCTAAAAAATTGCTTCCAACGTGAAATGCTCGGCCGGTTCTGCTTCTATTCTCCAATTAACGATTAATCGATTACGAAACTGATCACAATTAATCGGATTAACTGTTTCGATACTAATTATGGTCATAATCTTTTATTGATTTAAGTGGGTAAATGTGGTAAACAAGTCGTTAACAATACTGGGATTGGAGGACACCGGTGGTGTTGGGATTCAAGTTAAGAAAATGAAACATTTTATTACCTGAAATGAATAGTATTTCTTTGGAGAACACTTGATTATTTGTAGATTAATTGAAAAATACTTGCATTAGCCTATTAATAATTTCATAGCAAACGTAGCTTAATAAGATATTTTATGTAATTTCTTATTAAATTTGAGTCAAGTGAAGCTAAAACTCGGCGTGTCTAGAAACACCAGGAGTTCTGGGTAAAATGAATCTACAGATTGTTTTGTTTCTAAATGCAAACGTTTATATTTTTGTACAGTTTTGGGTATGTTTGAGTACGTCGTTCTAACAAATGGCCTTTTAAAAAAAAAATCTACTCAAAAGAAAAGTTTTTTAAATCCAATCAATCACTAAATTAGTTGACAATTATTTCAATAATTTCATTAAAATTTACTTCAGCGACTTATTTTTCATAAGTGTGTTATTTCGTGTGTCTTTGTGGTTTGGCGACAATTGTAACACACCAACACGACATCTCGACTTTGACTAGGCCATTTTGATAATGCTTTCATCTACATTTTTACGCTGTAGCTCCGGCTGTACGTTCTAAGAGAAACTGTAAGGTTTAGGGTTGAAATAGGCCAAATTGTGACAAAATACCCAGCAGAATCAATATTCTCCCCTGACATTGGAAGCTGAGAGCCAAAGGAAGCGGAGCTCTGCGTCAGGCTGCTGACTTGGGGCTCCTACCTCTCTCATTTTGAAGAACGCCATGCCGGTGAGTAGAGAGTCCGAGCCGGCCTGGTGCTGCGGTCCGATTCTCTCCAGCTCCAGCTGCTCAGCTACTTCCTGCAGCCCGCCCTGAACACAAAGCGCCGTCAGTCACGCTCAGCAAGTCCACATAATGGAGGACAGCACCGCTAACAAGCCACAGGCAGCATGTCTCCAGATAATACGGTCGTGTTTCGGAGAATAACACCGCAGGATGATAGGAACTTAGAGAGGAAAAAATTGGATTATTTTTCACTGAACTCTAATCTTTTGATGGAAAGAAACTCTGCAAGATTAAAAATACAAGACATTAGTAAAAACTATAAGTTTAAGTTGACAGAAGTATTTGTGAAAAAAAAAACAAACAAAATAAAAAACAAGCTGAGCCCAAACAGGAAGTAAAATACATCTAATTTAGAAATCTGAAGCGCGTTTAACTTTTTGTTTCTTAAACACCTCGAAACAGAAAAGTCGTCACAAATGAGAGCAGCTTGGAGCAATCAAAGCCCCTGTCGGGCATTTAGGAAGAACGAGCTCTGAATTCCTGCTGGACGTGTTTGATTGTTTCCATCAATCATTTATCGGACTGTTGCCGCACGGCGCCATTTAACACCATTCGGGTCTCCGTCCTGCCATGATCACTCTGCTCCAGCTGCAGCGTTGATGGCAGAACTGAGACCATCAGGCAGAAACGTTAACGGTTTCTAATATCAGATATCAACCCTTACAGTTACTTCAGGAATCAGAGTTTCCCAGCAATAAACTAAACCCAGGGATCCTCTGCCATTTCTCAGACTACCTTCAGGTTCTTGCAGCTCTTCATGAGGTACTTGACATCATAAATGACCGGGAAGTACAAGCGGAGAATCTCGAAGAAGTCCACCTCCTCCTCAGGCAGGTTGGCGTTAGACAGGATCTTGATCAGGTATCCAAAGTCATAGCCACTGCAAAAACACAAACAAGGAAACGGGCGGGAATGTTGGGACAAACGTTCTGAACAGAAAAAGGTGCCGGCGCCAGCATTCGTTTGCCACGTCGAAATCTTGACTGCGACGGTTTGAGGCAAATTCAGGAACACGAGCAGCGTACCTGTGAAAAGACAGCCACTTGACGCCGTCGCACAGCACCACTCCGGACGTCATCAGCAGCTCTGCGAAGTACAGCGTCTCGATGCCTTCCTCCTCGTGCTTCTTGAACTGAATCCCTGAAGTGGTCAGAAGCTCAATGGAGTCCTGTGCATACATATCTTCTCTAATGAAGAGAGAAACAGAACCGCAGAGTTCTGATCTGAACTACTCAGCTCGGCAAGCGCGCGCTCACACACACACACGCGCACACACACACACACACACACCAGTCAGTGTCTGTCAGGAACAGTAATGTAAAGTTTGTATGGGTAAAATTGCAGCAACTGAAACCTCAAAACGGTGACACCCAGTTGGATTGTGGGATTTCTGTCCTTGTTGCTAATTTCACCCTGACAGCTGGCTATTCTTCATATTCTGTGCTTAAATATTATAATTATGATTACTGGTGGGATGTGATTAAAGTTTTTAATAGAGTTAATTTCACAATCTGTAATCAATTAATCATCTTTTAATCGAAAACCATATATTGACAAAATGAGCAACATTTTCAATTCAAAAAACCTTTTTTTTTCCTGTTAAATTATTGAATAAAAAGACTTTAACAACAAAGACATTTATTGTTTTTAAACTGTTATTTAGGTTATTCCACCATCAGATTAGTGCAAAAATGCCATTCAGCTTCCACGTGTTTCAACGTCTTTGAGGAAATCCTTCTTTAGAAATGTGAGCTGTGAACGCTGACATTAGCGTTTAGCTTCGAGATGCTATTTCAGGCCTGAAAAGCTTTGCTAACAGGCTAACTCTTTTTAGCGCTATTTGGAAACAACAGTTGTATTCTCAAGCATCCTCTTAAATCGTCTTTTGAAACAAAGTGAGCCAAGGGAAGTCACTTTGTTGTCCGTTGCTGTTCGGGGATGTTGCTCGTGCATCAGATTTACCGGCGTACCAGAAACATGTGAATGCAAAGGTTCAACCGGGAACTTTGGAATATAAAAAAATTTTTAATCAATTGTGCTAAAAAATGTTAACACATTAAAATCTATGTAATGAATTAATCAAAATTGTTGCATTAAAGTCTCGGCTTTAATTGTGATTAATAAATATATATAAAGTCTAGCTCGTATGCTCTAGTACAAGTTGTATTTCTTAAAATTTTTTGCAAGCTCTGCAAATTTACCCAGGCAACATAAGACACTGACAGGACGGCGATCTTACGTGAGGTTGAACTTAAAGTTGAACTGCCACGTTGACGTTCCTGGAGGATATTCTCCCTGCTCGTTCATGAACGTGAGACCCAGCTGTATTATCTTCAGCAGATCCACGTTGCAGCGCAGCAACTGGTACTGGTAGTCAGCGTTGCTCCTGAACTCCCCAATCGGTCTGGCGACAACGCCCGGAAACTCCGTGTCCTGCAAGAGAGCGAGCCGCTGTTACCCAGAAAGGGGGCTGACGGCGTCTGGGAGACCGGCGCCCGCCAGTAGGAAAGAAACAACGACCAGTTTGTTGCTGGTGAGTCAATAAATTACAATACGATCAAAAAGTTTAGTTTAGTATTTGATTATCAAAACGTGAAACTAAATATTTAATACACAGTAATATATTGTGTTTATTTCAGTTAAGTTAGATAAATTCATTTCTTAGAAAATTTAAATATACATGCAACAGAGTCATACGTTTCTTGGTGAGTAACCACATTTTTGAGTGTCTCACATTTTTTCCTTCCACTGAACATTCTATTAATAGTTAATTTGTCCTTTATACATTATTATTTTTGTAATCAGAATCATATAACATTCTAATTTCAAGACAAAGTTAATTTTGGGACATTATTAATCAAAACTGACACAAACATATACTAGAAATGTATCAGATTGTGCGCTTGGTGAATTTAACTTAGCTAGTGATTGAGTGATATGATGACAAATATTACCACTGCCAACACCAATGAGGAAATCGGGTGTTGATAACAGCTCCATTTAGCCTGTATTAATACTTTTTGCATATTTCCACACACATTTTGACGTGACAATGCTAATATTCAATGACTTTGCATACAGTAATCCTGACACAAATTGCCAAATTGAATAATCCCAACTTACCATTGCGATATAGTTGTATTTCCGGATGACCTGTCGGATCCTCTTCAGCTCCTCCTCCAGGTTGTTGGACCAAACCTCACATATTCTTTGGCTGTGATCCACAGTGGCTGCGGGCATAGTGCCACTTCACGAACAACACAGAGAACACAGGCCAGTGATTCAGGGAACTGCTGTTTTGTGGACAACATGTCGTGTCAGGATGAAATTTAGATAACCAAAACTCTCCATTAATAAGACTTTTTGGTTTGCAGCAGGAGACCATTTATAACCAGTCCAGTGACTTTTCAACAAGTCACATAAACGCCAGGAAATCTTAGATTTCAAAGCAACAGCGGCAGTAATTGTTTCACAGCACATTCCAGCAGTGTTAGCATGGCAGGAGCGCAGTGGGAGAGCGGCTTGTCAAACGGGACGTGTTCAAACATTAGCTCGGCTCCACAGCTGCTCTCTGACTAGCTAGGTTACCAGTTAGCAGGTTATCCACGCAGAACTGCTGAACACCAGTGGGGAGAGTGGACTGAACGCTGTTTATGCTTTTATTAGCCTCCCCAGCTAAACAGCTAGCTTCACAATTTAACAGGAGTGTATGCAAAACATGAAACAAACGAGTTGAAGTCGCAGCGCAGGCACACACCAGGCTCCACTTTGATACAGCAAAGGTGGACGTTGCTTCGGTAACTTACCGTTCCCCTAACCGGGCAGGTGTGTGTTAAAGCGTGTGCTATCTGAAAAATGTTAATGTGTTCTGTGTTATTGTGTCGGGGCTTTTCCGCTAACTTTGAGATACTTAATATTCTGTATCGTTTTGATGTCAACCTACGGCTGCCATCATAGCTGAGCCTCCACAACGTCATCACGTAAAATCGAAACAGGCGTGTAAAGTAGGCGACGTTTTACGTTCTCTCTCCCCTCCTAGTGCCCGACTCCAGCAAGTGGCGATGGGCCGTCCGACTCTTTTCTAGGATTCGGATCATTTAGATTAAATTGGCCGGTTCTTTCATTTCTCAAACGAATCTTCACTTGATACCTCTTTCAGGTAGTAAAGTTTGATCAACTTTTAATCTTTATTGATCATACAAGTATATGGGAAGTAACAGTACGTGTTAAAATTGACAACATATTTTAGAATTCTTTGAATACAATAAGTAAGTAAATCTCATTCTTGGTGCTGAAAACAAAACAAAAAATAGAGAAACATAAAATTTAAATTATGTAGATGGATGGATAAATAGTGTGTAATAGTCACATTAGTATAATTAGGAGATGTTTCAGACTGTGCAATTGTCTACATTTGAACATGTGTTTCCATAAATTCGTGACTTGACAGAAAAAAAATGGTAGAGTTACAGCCGAAGCTATTTCTTATATAACAGTGTAATGTGATCAATGAAACATGACTTGAAAACTGGTGAAGACATTTAGCTTGTAAAATGAATAATTTTCCATCTTATATCTTTGAAAGGACATTGATGGTTACAAAGCAAGTTTACTTGAAATTACTTTCAGTATAATTGTATTAACTCCTTTAGCACCAACACACACAAAAAGATCGTCTCTGGCCTGCTTTACAAAAACAGTCAGTTCAGTCACCCAGACAAATTCAAACTCAGTGACACAGTCCAATTTGATCCTACATTTATTTAGTTTGCACATCACCCTTTAATGCATATTTTTGCAATTCTTTTTTTTTTTACTTGATAAGTTGTGTCATCAGCAAGAAACTTTGCAATTCTCAGTGATTTGGGGAGGGAAAGCATGTATCTAATAAAAAAGCAGTCCAAGAATGGAGCCGTGAGGAACGCCATGTGAGATTTTTGCTTGGAACTCGACTTTCTACACTTAACATTCTGGATTTCACAAAGTAGACTCTAATTGACTAAAATTAGCAGCCCAAACATACTTGAGAGGAAACACTTGTCACTATAAGGAGGTTATTTATTTATTTTTTCCCCAAAGATGTGCCCAAACACCTACAAGCAACACCACTGGTTATTCTGAATGTGTGTGTGAGCCTTTAGTTAATATAAACACAGAACCAATAACACACGTATAATGTTATATTTATTTCAGATGATGTTTCCATACCATTACATTTACAGCAGTTGAAGTTGCTCTTTGCTTACCTGAACAAATAAAACCACAGGTGTAAATCTGTAAAGCTTTTATATATAAATAAATGCAACATTCAAACTGACTGATATTTTTGTTCAAAACAAACAAACAAGCATTTAACATAAAAATATAACAAAAATAATAAATCATAGTACAAAAATATGCTGCCATGCATTGGTTTATTATCTCTTGGTTCATTTGCATGTATAGCTGCACAGTAATACATGATACACACTTAAAAATACAGCAGATTTAAAACAAATTGTTTAATAGTGTCTATAGTAGAAAAAATACTTTGTAAGCTGAACTACTAATCTGAAGGAAGCGATACGTTTGTGTTCACATGCTCCCATCACGCCGTGGTCCCGTAATATCTCTGACATTCATTAAATAATAAATATACAACAGGACAACTATTGCTCTCCAGGTCCAGCTAAAAGCCTCAAATGCAGAACACACGACAACATTAATGAGAACAATGTGCCACACGAATAACAATGAATGTTTCACAGTATCAACAAAACACATTGTTGCCGATTCAGATTCAGTTCGAGTCTCTTCTCGTCTCGTCCGACTGCGTTTCTGATCAGGTGCGGTTTGTCTCTCTGGTGCCAGTGGACGGGATCCCTGCAAACGCATCGTTCATTTGGAATCTATTCAGATTCTGCCAGGCATTGAAAATGAATATGCAGCGAAACGTAGTGGTAGTGGTTGTGTCATGCTGTGGGCACACGTTTCTCTGATGGGAAAAGAAAAGCCGTTGGGAAGACGGATAAAGCTAAAACCTGCGGAGGAGGTTTAAGTTCCAACATGACAAAAACCCTGAACATAAAGTAAAAGCATATTTATGAGATAGAATGGCCTAGTCAAAGTACAGTCAAATTCAGTATGTATTTGTGGGAAGACTTTTTTTGGGACGTTTTCATTCACAGACGCTGACTTCATTCAACCTGACTACGCTTGAGCTACTTAAAAAAAAAAAAAAAAAAAAAAGTTTAGGCAAATATTTCAGTCTGTAAACAAAACAACAACAACAACAACAACAACAAAAATCTTCCACTTTGAAGCCCAAACTTAAATGCACTGAAGTTTGCAGTTGTAATGTGACTTTTAATCGGTCTGTAGCTAAAACTTCCTGAAAGATCACATTCTACAAACAGACATGGACGTTCATATGGCTTCCTTTATTCTCTGTAAGTCAATCTTAATTATTACGCCTTCCTGGAAGATCGGATTAGACAGCTTAGGAATATTCAGCGACGTACTTTTCATTTTCTGCAGACTATGAAAAACGAGAGTCAGCTACAGCTTCGGGATTGTAGGAAATCAGGAGTTGCTCCAAATCACTGTAAACTAAAAACAAAAGTTGGACACGCGGCCGTTTGTCAGAGTGACGTTTTCAAACCCCGGTGGCGTCTGCTGCGTTTTTGCTCAGGCGGCCGAGTAGGCCGCCTCGTCCGAGTCCGGGTCCGGGTCCCTGGCGCTGTCCTCGCTGAGGGGGGAGCGGCAGCTCACGTCTGCGATCCCAGACTCCGGGTCGCTGCCGTTGGAGAGGTTGGGGTCCGCCGTCTGGTCGGGATCCTGCGGTGCGAGGACCAGCAGGCCGTCCACCGCTCCGGGAGTGCTGGCCAGGAGGCTGCCGGTGTAGTCTTGAGGAGTGTTGGCCAGAGCGAGGTTCTTCCCCAGAGCCCGCGCCGTTGAGCTCTGATCAAACGCGGCAGCTCTGTGGGCATCGCTCCATCCCTGCTCCTGCTTCAGCTCGGCTATTTTCTGTTGACAGAGAAGCCGTGGTTAAAGCCAGAAACTGTTTGGCGGGACGGTCGTTTTTCGTCGCCCTCCGTCGTCGTACCTGCTTGTGGGAATCCAGCTGCTCCTCCAGCTGCTGCGTCTCCTCTCGGATGACCCTCAGATAATCCTCCACCGACTGTCGTGGGTGCATCCCGCGGTCAAACCGGTTGTACAGCCCTCTCCAGAATCTGTGCAGGCAAAGACATTTGTCAATCCAGATTATTTTATTGATTTTCTTCTATTATATGTGCAACTTTTTCTGCCCGAGTGAAATTGGCGCCTCGCAAGTCAAACAAGATTGGTGTCAAACGTTTGTGCAGCAAAAATTTCGTCACCTTCCTACAATAGTGGCACTAGTCATTTATTGCCAAAAGTGATATTTTAGGCTGTTATTTTAGGAAGATGACAATTTAAAAAAAATATTAACATTTCCAGAGGTCAAAGGTCAACCAGAGCCGCGCTCACATTTACAAAAAAATAATTTGGTATCAACTTTTTATTTATATTATTTTATGAAACGTCTATTTTACCAGGATAAAAAAAGAATAAAAACACTGAGATTAAAAACCTCTTTTTCAAGGGAGTGCTGCCCAACAGGCAGCGACAAATACAATACAAAACATGAAACCGTTAAAAGAAAAGAAAGAAACAAAAAAAAACCCACTGAATTGGACTTGAGATCTTTGTTTGGATGTAAAACAAATAAAAAATAAAATTGCTAAACAAGATCAAGTCAGTCAAAATTTGTTGTGATTTTTGCTACAAAAGTTTTAGCTGCACAAACAGCAAAATTCATTTTTATCCATTTTTATTTGATTTTATTTGATTTATTTGATTTCGTCAATGTGTGTGTGGCAGGCTGATGTCTGGTGACGTTTTGTTGAAAACTTAAAAATTGTAAACAAACGAAAAAAAAATTGTTGTGCTGCACAGTTGATTGCTAACATATTTAGTTTGATTTTGCCGCTGTGGCCCGGCTGGCTGACCTTCGATGACGTCCGGAAACATTTATTCACATCTTTAAGAAGATGGAAACTTCTGCTGCACAAACATAGCACAAATGTTTCATTTAATTTGAAGAAGGAGAGAGGGAGGCGCCAACTTCACTCTGCTCTCCCCCCCCCCCACCCCTCTGTGCACAGACAGTGTACCTACTTAAAGCAGTAGGGGGCGGTAGACGGTCGCAGGAGTCCTTGAGACTGGCTGTGGTTCTGTCTGTACAGCGGGTTGATGAACTCTGCGCGGTTCGTCCAAAGGTAACTCCACAAAGAGTGAGTCTTTTCATGTACACTTTTCATGACAAGAAAAGACGACATTAGCATTTGCAGATTCCTCAGAAGGAGGCGTCTCCATTAAAAAAACCCAAACAAACAAACAAACACAAAAGCGGAAGAAGCGACTCCCGGCAGAAAGGGTCAAACCTCACCGGAGCTCTCTCCTCTCCTGCTGGTTGTTGCCGATGAAGTTCCCGAACTGGCAGGAGTAGATGTGGCTGTGAACCGTGATCAGGAGATTCTCGTTGTACTCGAAGGCACAGGGGAACTGCTCCATCAGCTGCCACACGCACTCCAGGAACTGATCAACGATCGGAGACACCTCTTTGGGGTCTCCAGCCAAGTGGTTGCATCTGGAGGGGGAAGAAACTCGGTTATCCTTGAACACACAGCAGGGAGACCCCAGCGAGATCCGACACTGGACGTCACAAACACATTTTGAGGTTGTTTTTTTTTCTCAGGTAGGCCAAAACAAAGAGGTAATTACTGCAACGTTGGAGGAAAATGCCAACATTGTTTGCAAATAAAAATCTGAGAAGTGTGGCATGCACTTGTATTCAGCCACACAAAGTTAAAACTTTGTAGAAGTACCGACGTCTTAAAGATTGAAAATTATGCTTTTATTTTATTTATTTTTTTGGAAAAACATCTTAACCTCAGTCAGACTGAATGGAGATCACTTGTAAAAAAAAAAAAAAAAAAAAATCAATTCTCAACTGAATTCAGGTCTGGACTTTGACTGGGCCATTCAAGACCCTGATTACGCTTCGATCCAGACGTTTTGTGATGGGTCCTGCGGAAAGCTGACCATCCAACCTTTGTAACCCAGAATCGGTCTGTATTCAGCCGCTTCCGTCTTCCAACAAATTGAGCTGCTTCCTCGTCATCCGTCATTTTCAGATGAACCGTGGTTAAGTGCAGCTGAGATCCAATTGCATGTTAACTAGGCAACCTCTAAACGCAGTTGATTGGATTTTAATCGGGGGTATCGGAGTAAGAACAAAGAATGTTGAAACCCATCGATTAATCTTCTGTCCAGGAGCCATTTTGAATCGGTACGAATGATTTTGCAAGACGTTACAATTAGAGTCAAACCTTTGAGTGAACTTGTGTCCAAATGAGACCCAGTCTTTTTCAATGAGGACCTACGTGCAGAAAAGAAAGAGACTGTAACCAATAAAGGTCGCATGCTGTGATAATCATCTCCTAACCTCAGAGATAATTTTGCATAATATGATTCAAACACATATGGAAACAGGAATGTTTTTGCACCAAAAACTGAAGCCAGAATGGAGTTGATCGAATTTAGACAAGAGCAATCAATCACAAGAGATTAGATGAAGAAAAAGCAAACAAACAAAAAAAACCGGTTGAGTGGGTTTACCATGAGTCCTTTCAGGGTCCTGTAGTAGGGATCCAGCAGCACACAGGCCACTGAACACACCTGGGCCGTGCGGTCCCACCCGTCTGAACAGTGGACCAGGACACTGATGCCTTCTGCAACAGCCTGTGTGTAAACAATCAGAGACACACACAGTCGTTTTCATTGCTGACAAAACTATCCCAGTGGCCCGTCTCATCGACTGGTTCTGAAAATCAGGCTAATTTCTTCTGCTTTTAGCTCCCTGTGTCGTGTGTTATCTACAGAACACGGAGTTTAACTAATGGAAATGTATTCCCACATGTGCTAAACCTGCCAGCTCAGAAACACCCAGAAACACCTTGGGTTTCTGGGAATCCCAAGGCGTTCCCAGAAACGCAGCACAAAGCACATGTAGACTGCTTGGGTGCACCTCAGCGTTGGTCACGTCAACCGACTGCAGAGTGTTTGGGCAAAATCCTTAACTCTAAGCAGAAAGATGAGGCCCTTGCTTCTCCCTACATCCAGTGGGCGGCACAGGTTGCTACAGTCGACAGCAGCCACACAGGCACACCCGCTAGCGGGAAACAAACACACCCAGTACAGCACTTTCATTCTATTGGCTGAAAGGTTGCCAGGCGACAGTACAGAAAACATTTCACAAGAGAGCAGAGAGGTTTGTGAGGGGACATTTGAACCGAGCAAATGTCCGCAAGTTTCGAGAGTGAGGAGAACGGCTTGAGAAAGGACAGCAGATATTTGAAAGAGAGAAGAAATTTTGAGAACAAGCGTTACAAGTTTTGAGAAGAGAGACATGAAATCCTGCTTTCAGACTGGAAATGTGAGCTCTCGAATTATGGCAAGAAAATTCCCCCCTGAATAGACCTTACCAGAGAGGCTTAGGAGTGCAATTTAAATTGAATTTAAAAGTGATTTCCTCTTTATATAGAGAAAATTATACATTCAGGCTCATCGTGATTGGTCGTCTTTTACTTGGGACAACACTTCTCAAAAAACTACACCAATAAATTTGAAAGTCTCTTTACTCATTTATTTTTTAACGGTTCCACATTTGTAGTGAAAATGTATTTAAGGAGTGAGCAGCAGAATTGAGTATGTGGATTACAGCCATTGAAAATTAGGAAAATCCTCTCTGCCCAATCGCGACATATCAACCAAGCATTTCAAAGTTTGACATGAGTTTTCCAATTGGACAATGATTGCAGGCACACATCAAAATCTAATGTTGAAATGGATAAAACAAGCACAGATTAAGTTTCTGGAGTCCTATTGGGAACCAATCGAATTAAATTAACTCGACCGATTCTGCCAGGAAAAGAAAACAAATGTCTTACCATAATTATACCAAAAAACTGATTCTCATTTAAAAATGAAGTTAAGTCAATGGATCCCATCCTCCTTCACCTCTTCCCTACTTCTCCTGCATGCTACGCAAAAACAACCTTCACAAACCGTTTCTTAAAGAAACGGTGACACAGACAGCAGGGATTAGCCTCCAGACTGACCTTAGCGATGAAGACGCCGGTATCCAAAACAGCTTTGATGTGCTTCAGCCAGCCTGAGCTCTCCAAGCCCTCCAGGAAGTCGGACATGGAGGGAGAACGAAGCTCACACACTGAAAGCACAACACAGCTGTCTGAGTGGTAGGAAATGCGAAGCAGACCTGATGCATGGGGTTTATGAAACATCATTCTCTCCCACAGTGTGCATAGCTGGTCTTCCCCCCCCCAAGACAGATTTCTCTTATATCCCAGATTAATCTGGAACAAAGTAAAATGTAGCTTCTAGGTCGAAAACTTTAGGACAGATGAACAGATGAAAATTTTAAATCACCTGAAAATTGTGCAGGTGATGGTTTACATGCAATGAAGACACTTTCTTGTGGTGCGCTATTGACCAATTAAGCTACACAACTTGTGCTTAATATGTTTTATGGTCATGTCTTTAACAGTTTATTGCTAAAGCCATCATTGCATTAAGACGGCAAGGCTAAAACATTTCGATGGCCAATAATATAGCAGAATTCTTAGTAACAATAAAATCCAAGCACTACCTAGCTAGCTGTGCCAGGCTAATGCTAGCTTGTACATGTACAGGCACAAAGAGATTTTTTATTTTGTGACAGAACATCCCGCATTTTTAAAATGCTCCAACATCTATCCGCAAAATGAAGTCTGTGTTTTGTGTGATGGAGTGAACGCGACAATTTTTTAATAAGGACTGCCCTGCAACGTTAGCTAGCAACTCTCTGTTTCACAAGCACTCACCAAAGAAGACTTTTTAAATTATTTGTGTAACAGTGTTTTATATACTTGTTTTATGTAGACACAGACATGTAACTTATTTATAAGCCCTGAATGAATAAAATCAGGCGTTAACAGCTAAAGTGGCTAAAGCTAGCATCTGCTTCGTAGCTTCCTGTCGGTTTGAAACTAAAAAGATTTTTCAGCAGCTTTTAACCACCTTTTTTTAACCCATATCCAAAACCAGCCATTTGATGAGGAAGTTGAGTACATTTACAATAAAGAATTGTGTAAAAATCCTACTGAAAACATCGGCTCAATTCTCAATCAATACCACACATGTAACAGAGATTCCCGCTGACGCTACACCAGTTTGTCTGGCAGGAGAGACGTGGGTCATCGGGTTTACTGAGCCGGTGGCTCGGTGAACGGGCCTCCCCTGGAAAGGTAATCTGAGTTAATGTTGCCAGGCTGGGGGTCCTGTAAATTTTACTGAAGCGTGCAGTCGTGTAGAGTGAAGGGCTGCTGCCGTCTCCTGGCATTTGAAGACTTCCCCTTCAGTGCCAGGGGGCGCAAAGAGTTATCAAAAACTGAGCCAACTCTGAACTCTTCAGACTTGAAACCACATCATTCTCACGCCCTCCGCCTGCATCCAGGGGGATAATGTTAGGGACAGTCCACTCCGGGAAACCAAAGGAAAAAAACCCTCTGAAATCAAATCCAGATGGATTCAAAGCCATGCTAGGAGCCAGTGCCCCTGGACGATACGCAGGAACCTTCCTGTGGACTCATTTGAAGCAGCTCAGTCTGCATGACCACAACTGGATAAAAGCACAGAGGCCTCAGATTCACTTGCTGTGCTTCAGTAAAGGTGAAGAGACAGCGGATTAAAAAACATCTTAAAAATTAAACAGCTTTTACTATACAAGCTGAAACTACAAGTACCGTGCAGTGAAAAAGTATTTCCCCTCCTTTCTTTGAATCCCCAATACCAGAACCAGAACCAGAACATGAAGAAGCAACATGCAGTTTTTATGCTCCACAAATCTGGAACAAACTTCCAGAAAACTGCAAAACAGCCGAAACACTGAGGTCCTTTAAATCTCGACTGAAAACCAACCTGGTTAGAGTTACTTTTGTTTCGGAGTAACATTGGTCAACATATTTGATGTGTATTTCATGATGATTTTGATTACGGCATCAGACGAGATGTGATGTTTATTGCTCGTTTCATAATCCGTGACCGTATCTTATTGCTGAAATGTGCTACACAAGTAAATTTGACTTTACGTATAATCAGAATACAAATGTTCATGTCAGATTAAAACAACCTGAATAAATAGAAAACACGGTTTTTAAATGAGGATATTATATTTAAGTGAAACATCCAAACCGTTGTGAAAAGGCTACTGCCTCTTAGATCCAACACCTGCTTGTGCCATCCTGGTCATCAGTCTTTGAATTTATGATTTCAAACACAGCAGGTTGTTGAAATGCTGAAGAACCGAACCACCACACTACCACCACCAGTGAATTTGATTGTCCAAAAAGATAATTTTTTTTCCCCTCCTAATAACTGTGTTGGTTTTATGCCAGATGTAAAAATCAAGCACTTCTGTCCCATTGACCAAGAGAATATCTGCCCAAAAGTGTTGCGTTAGTTTGGATAGGTTTTTGTTCCTGTTCATGACTGAAATCATGACTTAAAATCTTCCTTTTTGCACTCGGTCAGGTTTGTTGGATGTAAACATTTTGTTTCTGCATCTGAAGTGTGAACTTCATCCGAAGAGGCCGCAGCGATTTTACCTTCCAGCATTTTCTGCTGGCTGTTCCTCATGACGTGGATGTTCTCGATGCCCATGAACTGGAATTTTATGTTGGAGTAGTTGTCTTCGTTCTCGTAGCCTTTCCCTGCCGCCCTGTTGGCAATCGCGTTCAACTGAAGAGACAAGACAACACACACGCACGCACGCACGCACGCACACACACACACACACACACGCACACACACACACGTCGACTCCGGTTCATTTTAGCCTCCACGTTACAGGAAACCTCAGTAACGTTAGCCGCTGCACAGCCAGGAAGTCCTGAGGACATGCAGCTGTAAAAAACAAAACAGCTGAACACATATCACTGCTAGCGGCTCGCGTTCCCACACAGGGCTCACCTTGGGCCTGGTGTCCACCACATACATGAAGTCGCTGCGGGGATTGGACCTCAAGATGGCCTCCAGCATCTGCTCGTCCTCCAGGCAGCGAGCGCTGAAACCCGACAGGGGCTGGCTGCTGCGGCAGATGGCAGCCTGGGAGGTGTTGTTGTGATCAACAGGTGAGCGAAAGACGGACCATTTTAGATTTCTAACAGAGCCACATGATATTAAAACAACACACGGTGGCCATTTTATTGTTTACGACTGGGATCAGAGGCGGGCAGTGTGGACTAAATCTGCACTTACATCAGAGTACTTCAACATATTTTTACTGGGGTAAAAGTAAAAAGCAGCCATCCAAGACATTACTTAAAAGTAAAAAAAGAAGAAAAAAACTAAATAACTAAAACAACTACTTAAGTACTGGACGATACGCAGGAGCCTTCCAGCGTATCGTTTACACTGAAACTATAATGACGATTTTAGACAAAGGGACATTATAATCAATGCCTCCCATAAAATGATAAAACGATTGAGCAAAATATAAAATGTGGGGAAATAATTGCATTTTATACAAGTACATAGTGTAAAATAGTATTTTAAATACCAAAATTAAAATAATTCATACAAATAATCACAAGTACAAAATAACAAAAAGAGAATAAATGTTCCTAATCAGTTTCTTTCATTATAAAAACTTGAGAAACTTTAACTAAAACTGCAGGTCTGTGTCTGAATCATGTGATTAAAACAAACTTGTTCTTCGTTCAGTGAAGTTATTCACAGTGGGAAAAGTAAGAATCCTTCATAAGAAAATTACTCAGAACTACATTTTTTTCCCCCAAAAGAGTTAAATCAAATAAATGTAACTATTTACTACTAAACTCTGGTTGTGATTAATACAAGTTTTTCTTACTATCCTCTTTCTTTTCCATCGTCATATTTTCACAACTCTTTCTAATTTTGCTCCGTATTGAGCATTGGCATTAAGACACAGGGAACACTAATCCAAAACGCCTGATATATGACTAGGAAAACAGAGTTTCAGTTCAGATATTTAAATGCAACGCTCCAGTTTAAGGTAAAAACTAAAACAATGAGCAGCAGATTAATGTTTAGTTCATCTCTTCCTGCATGTTGCATTTGGACTCACAGAGTCTCTCCGTTTTTCACATCTCTGTTTAAAAGCCACGAGGGAACCGATCTGAACACGATCCAGAATGCAGCAAACACAGAGCCCCGTCCAGCTTAGCCTGGGAATCTGACCCCGCAACGCTGTTTGACAAAAATCAGCATTTGGGAAAAGATATTTTCTGAGAGATAAATTTGTAAAAAGAAAAACTAAGTTGGAGCTTTTTCATCATTTCTCTGGAGACGAAACTGGAACGTCGCCTTGCGGAGCTGTGTCAAATGTTGTGGCATTAAAAAGGTAAGTATCAGAGCTACCTAATAAAATTCATGGTACATATATTTCTACAGATTTGGTTAGAGCAAAAAAAAAGTCATCAATATCTACAACTGATCAAGCCTACCATGGAGGAAAGCTACAATATGTTTATTTTCTTATTTGAAAACAGAAAGTTAATTATATATTTGCACCTTTTAATGTATTTTTTAATGGAAAGACTTCAGAGGTTAAACGAAAAATCTGCAGAATGTGACGATTTCTTTTATGCGATTAGTCGATAAATAATAATCTATTTCTAAAATAATCGATAGCTGCGTATTTGTGTCAGTCGCCTCTCTCCCCCTCTCTCTCGATGCACACAGCAACCGTTTTTTTTTTGTTTGTTTGTTTTTAGCACAATTTGTTCCCACTTTGAGCTCCACGTCTTCAGTCTTGCCTAACAGATTGTGAAACGTTTTGGCTGCGAGACAGAAGAGAAGCTGCCACCAAGCAAACAGACCCATTAATCATCTTTGTTCAAGAAACTGGCCCAAGAAAATGAACATTTCCACCAAAACGTCGCCTCTTATCTTGATTATTTGTGATTTAAAAACAAAACAAAACAAAAAAAAAAACTTAATTGTTTGGGAAGGAGATGGACAAATGGAAATTGCGATCGTTGTTGCATTCCTCCCTCCGGACCTTTGACCTGCTGTTCAGCAAGAAACGCTGATGCTAAAGTAGAAAACGAGACATGCAGTCAACTTACATGGTTTTCTTTGGAGTAATAGGACAGGGCGGGGAACCGGCCTCTGCTTCTGAACTTGGAGCTGCCCACCAGCACCGGCGGCGCGGCGGAGTCGGGTACAAAGAGCTCGGCGGGGTAAGTGTCGCTCACCTTTAGATAAAAAAAAAAAAACCCACAAATTTAATTGGCAAACCATCACCATATGACATGTGACTGTTGTGGCCTAAAATAGTTAATATTTAAAATGTAAATAACACGTTCAAGTGCCTTCTTAAAATAGCGCCGCTAAAAGGGGCGCCATTATGCGTTTCAACCTTCAGTCGTTATAAAAATGCAATGTGTATCAAATACGACTGAAAAGAAATTTTATGTTGTAATTCAAGGAATTGGACCTCTGTCCCTAAAACTCAGCCTTCAGGAAATCATTGAAACAGTGCTCCTCTATTAACCTTTTCCTGTTCTTTACGAGAACTGTGCCGTGAGGAAGCTCATATAACGAGCAGCAGTGAGGCGTTTGCTAATTGCTGCTGACTAGTCTGAAGGAGCCGAGTGGAGGAGTCGCCTTACTGGAAACATGGAAACTGCAGCTCTGAGGAGGACCTACGCCCTCGGTTCCCCCCACCAGGCGTTTTGCACAGCTGAATGGTTGCCATGGAGATTAAATGACTTCTTAAGCGTGCATGAAAGAATCAAAGCAATGCTCCCAGGTTCGTTTCTGATTAAAAAACAACATTATAACATGACATAAAGCTAAAAAAAAAAACATTTGATTTCACATAACACTGCTTCTTTATTAAATCATGTCCTGATCTCAACCTCCTGCAGGGACCAGGATTAAATCTGTCCACTCCAAGGTTTTCTCCTTGACCTTATATTGTTGGTTGACCGGGGAGAGTTTCCACTGGGCGTTTGGGAGTCCCATTCGGCTGAAGTCGGCCTTGAGGTCAACGAAGGCCCAGTCCCGCCGCCTCTCCTCCTCGTCGACGTTGGGCTTGTAGGAGAAGCAGTACAGTTCCTCGTAACGCTCTGGAAGAAGAAAAGCGAGAGTTAGATTGTAAAGATGTTCAAGCAACTTTAGCTACTTTCTTTTTGTCAATTAAGAACCAAACGCTTCAATGTTTTTGCTTGGATTTTACGCGATGCGTTTAGTGACACGGTCCAGTAAAATTTATTACAAAGAATCTCAAGCTCGTTCAGAGAATATGGAGAGGGTCTGTGGACAACAGTTGAAGTCTTGCCACATATTCTGGATTGAATTTAGGTGCGTGCTTTGAGTAGGCCATCTGCATATATGTGTGTGCTTTGACCTAAACCAGGGGTTTAGATCAAAGACTGTCCACAACGGCTCATAAACAACGATAAAGAACTAACTAATGCTTTTAACACAGATATGTTAAGAAATTTAAGTTTTTGTGATTAATTCCGCCTTGTAGTAAATTAGAAAATTATTTTCTTATCTTTAAGTTGAAACACTAAAAAATTTCTCCTACTTAAAGAAAAAGAAATAAAGCAGTGGTTCTTTAAAAATGACAACATTCCTGTTGTAGATATTTATCTTTTTGTTTCTGGACAGATTTTGTTTGGCTGGACTGAGGGTGAAATCGACTCTTTGGATGGTAAAGGCTGCAGACTCCAGGTCTGATCGGCTCCATTTTTAGGTTTGTTCTCCTGCTCAAAACTGAATCAGTTCCTCAAAGCCTTCAGTAGGTTTTCATCATATTCTGTTTATGCAAGTAGGGTGGAAAATCCCACGTCAGTATTATCTGATTGTTACGCCCTCTTCCGGAAAAGGACTTCCTCATATTGACTGGTTTTCTTACTTTTTTTTTTTTTTTTTTTTAAACTAGTTGTACTGGCAGATTTTATTTTCACTATTAATTGAAAAGATCCTCAGATATCGGTATTGGAAGTGGAAAAAAAGGTGAATCCCTAAATATTAATGTTGGATATCAGCCTAAATGTTCTTCTCAGTGTGTCCTTTACTATATGCATTATAAAAAGTGAGTGTATGAATACTTTCCCCAGCCGAATACTAGTTTTAAAGAATGGGTAGAGAGGAACGTCTGAGCTCACGGGGCTGGGAGAGCCGCTGCAGGGACAGGTGGACGTCCTGACAGTCCTGCTCTCTAGGAATGCTGAAGTGAAGAATCTGGAAGTTCTTGCAGCGGATGAGCAGAGGACACCCCGAGGCGCTGGCAGCCTGTTTGTCCACGCTGCACACCAAACTGTGAAGCACCTGAGGAAAGCACGCAGAGCCCACACGAACACAGAAAAATAGCGACATATTATTTCTGCCCTGTTGGGGGGTTGAGTTGAGTGCACCAATAATGAGTTACCCATGTTTCACTGCGGCCTCCCGCCTCGCTCTCCACGAAGATGCTGTGGGTGGCCGTCAGGTAGAGGGTGCCCACCCTGCTCCTTTTGGGGGACACTCTGTTCAGTAGCCGGACATTCTCCACCTGCAGGGAGGGGGTGGGGGGACACGGATACATCAGACACACTCTGCCATCGTGGCAGCAGCACACACACGCCCTTTATGTCGAGCATGTGTGTGTGTGTGTTTGTTTAATCAGAGTATCATCCACAATCTGTCTGTGTTTATCAGTCTGACGCTCTTCTGCTAGTGCAGAAATACAAGCGAAGCTAATCACTGCATCAGGCAGAGCCGCGGTTACCTTCGGTAGTCGGATGTGCTCCATCAGCGGCTGAGCGGGTCCGGTCCGATCACTGGCTCCGCAGCATGGGTTCGGTTCGGTTACACCATTTATTACGGTTAAAGAAGCGGCTCCGCGAAGCTCTCAGGTAAAACCAGCCATGATATTTCTATTGTCTGGGCTGCAGTCAGCCGCTGGGTCTTAAAGCCCGTCATTTCAAGACGTTTAAAGGGACAGCTCTATTTATTTATTTATTTATTTTTAACCTGAAGTTATCTATGGAAGCCTGCTGCGGCCACTCTGGTAAAAAAAAAGAAAGAAAGAAAGAAAAGAAAAGAAATAAATTATTTCATTTTTGAGATACCATCTCGAAATATTTTCATTATTTTTAGATATTATTTTGTGATAGTACTTCATAATAATGAGATTTATTTATTTATTTATACCAGAGTGGCGGAAACAGGCTTGCTTAATAATCATTAACAATTCGCACTAGAGACTGTTATATTTATAAAAAAATATATTAGACCTCCATGCCACTGTGATCCAGTCATTCACACAGGACTTACATTGTCCAACTGAGCATTGTCCAATATTATAATATTTTTTATAATAATAATATTATATAAAAATATTATATCATTGAATATTAGTATAATATTTTTATAATAATAATAAAAAATAACTTTTTATTATTAAAAGTTATTAAACTTTTAATAATAAAAGTGTATTACTGTTTATGTAACGAATCTTTAAAATTCACCAGTTTCCCTTTTTGAATGGAGTCAAAATAAATGAACTTGATGATATTCTGATTTACGGAGATGCACCTGCATGTTTCCTTAACCAGTTTTTCTTTTTCCTGTTTTGTTGTACAAATGTGTTTATTCAGAGTTGTTCCAGAACAAATTAAAGACCCAAATGTTATTTTGTCATGCAGGCCACTGCAAGCAAAGCAAAAAAAAAAAAAAAGCACAGTCGAGGGCAACTACTGCAGCTGAATAAAAGGCGTCCCGTTGTGAATGCTGTGATCGGGACTTGGATGTTGATGTGAAAGAAAGATTTATTTATTTTTTTTTTTTTTTCAGTTTAAATCCTACAGTCAGGATATAAATATTACACGTCACTTTAGGCAACAGCAGCTCACCCAAGAGCACTGTTTGATGAACAACATCAGTTCTTTTTGGAAAGCAGTGCCAAAAATACTAACATGCTGTTGCGTGTGGACCTCAATCCAGTCAATAAATAAAAGCACAAAAAACACCTGCGATGTTACGCGAGCCAAATGGAAACTGGTTTCATGTCAGAGCACATGGGTGAAGTTCGTCCTACTCAGGATTCTTAGTTTCAGCCAAACTGTGCTGCTGCAGACATTGTGACATGTCATAGCAGGATGAGCAGAGCTGGGCTTTAAAACAAGTTCATTCCAGTGAGGGGTTGGAGTTTGAGCCAGCTGGCTGTCTGACAACACTCACAGGGAACAGTTAGCAGATACAAACCAGAAAGAAGGAGACTTTCACCTGCTGTCTTTTTATTTATTTATTTATTTATTTTTTTTTTACAAAAAAAGTACAACCAAATTTAAAAAGAATGTGTCCATTACCTCAGCAGAAGAGCCATCTCTGCAAATGTTAAGGCAAAAGGGAAGTTTATTTAGCTAGAAATAATTCACGCACCAGGCAATCCAAAGTACTGCACACAGAAACTGACTGAGAGCTTGAACAGAATTAGGTAACCAACACTTCAATGATGCCAAAGATGGCGGCAAAATCTACAAAAATAGATGCAAAAAAAAAAAGCTTTGACAGAACAGAGCTTCATCTGTTCTGTCAAAGATCTGATTGAACCTGATTGAAAATGTAAATAAAGGTACCCAAACTTCAATGAGTTGGAACGGTGTTGTAAAGATGAACAGGACAAATTTTCTCCACAGTGATGTGAAACTCTCATAAAGTAAGTCAGAAACGGCTTCTGCAACTTCCAAAATGTGTTTCTGTCAGCTAACACTGGATGATAATTCACTCATTGCCTACTTTGGCTTCAGTTGTGTTTTGATTATCAAGACTGTGTGGAATCTGTGTTTTTGTACACCTTAGATTAGAATGAAATCATTTTAGGATATGGTAAAAACCAGATATGCTTTATGGTTCCCTCGTACAACAAAACAGACTTGAATGAACGTTTTCTTTCTTTTCCCATGACAGTAAATGACCAGGGAGCACACAATAGGGAGAAATATGTATATTAAAAAAAAGCATTTGTGCAACAGGAAAATTTTAAACGCATCCAAAGATTGGATAATGTGTCACAGAGGAGATGACGAGACATCTAAAAATCTAACCTGACGGCTGCTTTTACACAACAAAGTGCCGAACCCCCTGGCTCTGGGTATAAATTTTGAGGACTGCTCAAGAGATTGTCACAATGTTGAATAGAGAGTGAGGATTTTCTCGAGAGGTCTCCAAGTGCAAACACAGATTGATAACATGTGGCCAAAAGGTTGAGGCATGCATTCAGGTTCAAACTCAGTGTGGAGCGAGCTCTGCAAACATTGTCGGCATAGTTTTGGTAAGTGCTAAAATATTGTAAGCGCGCTACATCAGTTTGTGAGCCATAATTGACTGAGGCATTGGGTGGAGGACTGAATCTGAACTGCAAGACGTTATGTACCGAGTTCAAGCTGCCCCCCTTAGCGACTGCACCCGCCGCACCTCACTCCTGTAGCTCTTCCCTTTGTGTGCCCCAGTGTCCCACCAAATGTCGTCGCCCTTCCTGTTTGACACCCCACATCAGTGTATACATGTGATCTGCATTGTGTAATAATGATTTTCATTGCCCAGTTTAGTAAGTTTCTCATTCCTTTATGAAGAATTAGATTATTAGTTGTTGGGGTTTTTTGGTTTTAGCAGCTACATTGGGTTTAAACCTACACCGGACTCGGCACTGAAGGGGAAAGCTGTGACGATGCATTTCCATCATGGATGACTGCACATCAAAATATGGTGACGCCACATGCTATTGGAAGCAATACTAAACAAAACAACTGTTTTGCCACCTCTATTATAACCTCCAAAAATAACCCAACCTCCATCCGTCCGTCAGTCCGTTTATCTGTCATCGTCAGTGGTCAGATCGTACGAGCATCAGCCATAAGCAGAGTACCAGACTTTCGAGTTTAGTTCGGGCATAAAACAATCCAACCTGACCTGGCTCTTGCCCATAGACGTTGCATCCAATTCCTATCCAACACTAATCAACTCGAATTGGAAGCCTGAGCCCCAAGCAAACCCAGCATGTCACTTGTTGTAACCGTAGAGCGAGTAAAAAACAAATCTTCTGGAACGTATGATTGATAGGAAGTATTTGAAGCCCTCCCAGGTGTGAGAGTTGAAACTCCATCAGACAAGAGACTCTGCCAGACGTTACCACCAGAGCCGCACAATACGTTTGGGCATCTTCCTCTACCATCACAACCCTCCCCTTCCCCTGAGTGTCCTAGATTTGCGGCTGCAGATCAGATGAATCGACCACAAAGTCAATTGTTAAACTGCAGCCTAAGATGCCATTCCTCTTGCTTGAACATGGTGTTCTTTATAGATAATCTGTAACAAGCACAGGTGTCCAATTCTTCATATCCCTCCAGGTCTCACTGTCATTGCCCATGTGAAGGTTGATGTCCCCCAGCAGAACAAGGCAGGAGTGCTTGGCGTCCCCTCCAGGGACTCCAGAAAAGAATCTGAGTTACTGTGGGGCACATGAGTACAAACAACGATCAGAACTCGTTTCCCCACATGTAGGCAAGGACAGGTGTGTTACCCTCTCACTCACCAGAGTGGACTCCAAAGTAGAGGAACCAATGAACTTGGTCACTTCTGGCCTCTCAAGAAGTGGAAAATTGTCCAACCCATCTTGAGGGGCCTGGTTCCAGAGCTAGAGCCGTGCGTCAAGGCAAGTCCGACAACATCTAGCCAAAATATTAATTTCTATTAATTACAGCACACTCTAGAGTTGAATGTTTGGCACATTTGCTATACTTGCTCTAACTTGAAAAAGGAATTTCATTTAATTGTATCCACATCTAAGAAATGCCTAGTTGGTGGTAACTGGATATTAATGTGTCTTTATGCTGCCTGAGTCTTCTCATTTTCAGAATTGTCAGAAGATGGATATTCTATTCGACTTCATCTCCATAGAAGATTTTTAGGAGATTTTTGACTAAGTGATGGGATTAGATATAGCATTTTTGCAATGTAGCAAACACAACAACCAAAAAATCTGGACAGAAGTGTCCAGCAATCGATGCAGCACATCCAAGGATTATGAAGGAATAAGGTTTTTTAGGTTTGATTTATGGTTTACGTGTTTGTAGCACAAATCAAGAATAATGCCACCAACTGACTGACTGTAGAGGATTTTGGTTTTTCAGAAGCGGTGCATGGGCTGTATTTAGCCTCCAAAAGAAACATCTTGAGATGTTGCAACTGGAAAAGGGTTCTTCGCACTAAATGCATCGACTGAGAAGGCAGAAAACAATAAAAGCAGTCAGACTGGATTTGTGTCTTAATTTGCATTCTCTCCCACTGTGTGCTCATGCAAAATGAACCAGATAACCCCCCACCCCCATCCCCTGTGAGCATTTATTAGTGCAGAGTTAATTTTTGAGAGTAAGTGCATCCCAAGGGACTTGAACATTGAGTCAACTTTAGGTCAAGATACTTGGACACGACAATAACATTTTAAAGAATTTTTTTAACTGCTCCCAGATGCATTAAAAGTCATAAATTACACTTCTCAGTTTCCATTATGTTTTTTTTTATGAGATAAAACTTAATAAATGGCTCAAATTACAACATTTGAAACTGTATAAATTCGTTATTTTTGGACAAAAGCCATTAGGTTTTCCCCCCCTTTCTATATGAATCACAGAATAAATAACCACCATACACACATTTTAAAGTTGCTCTCTCTGCAAGACCGACCCAGATAGACATCACTTGTCTGTAGCATCCATAAATAATGCTACATCCTTGTACTTAATAAAAACAGTATTAAAGTCAACCTAAGTACTGGTTTAGTCTCCAAGCTGCATGGCCCAGACTGATCTTGAGCTGTAATATAAAAAGGCTTTAGGATAGTGCGTCTAAATCTGGCGTAATGCTGACCTCCCAAAACAAACGTCCAATCTATATTTGTAGGTCACGTTTTCAGTTTACAAAATAGGTCATCTTGGCGATGCTGCCTCAGGTGCGCCAGAGTCTTTCATGAAATGAACTCGATGTTCTCATCCAAATTCATAAGGCTGATGTCCATAAATTACTGGGTGACTTATTCTGAGAAGAGGAATAACTCTCCCAGTCTTGTCACACATTCTAGACCTAACTTAGAATGTGTGACAAGACTAGAAAAGCAAGGCTCACAGAAACTCATGGCCGAATCGGAGGGAGGAAAAAAAGCCGTTTCCTCAAAAGACGTCCAGCCTTTTAACAAAACAACTGGACATCAAGGTCTGAGCATCAGTCCATCCACTAGCTACAGCTGCTTACCTGAGCAGGGTCACGATCATTGGCTGAGGTCATTGGGTGAGTGACGAGGTGCTTCCTGCACAGGTGGTCAGTCTACAATGGCTAACTCAGAGACAAATGGAGGTGACAACCATCATAGCAAAGGACAAGTTGGTGTCAAAACATCCTTGATACCAATCTACTTTACTATCATTCTCTTCGTCGCCTCGGTTTTGTACACATTTGACCCTGGATACTTCAACTTGTTCATTTTCAAGACAGCTGTTATTGCAGCTTCACTATTTCAACCGTCCTCCATTCATTCACACGTTTATCAAGTCTTGATTCTTCTGGGAATCTAAACAGATTGATGTGAACAAACAATAAGAAAATCTGCACAGAAGGTTTAAGTCTTGGGTGAATGATCGCCTTCCAGCAGTAGCAGCGGCAGCTTAGATCGTAACATGTTCTTGTGCTAGAATGGCCTAGTTGAAGTGCAGATCTAGACCTAACTTAGAATGTGTGACAAGACTAGAAAAGCAAGGCTCACAGAAACTCATGGCCGAATCGGAGGGAGGAAAAAAATCTGTTTCCTCAAAAGACGTCCAGAATTTTAACAAAACAATTGGACATCTGAGGGGAACTATACAGATGCATGCCACACTTTTCAAATTTTTCATTTTCCTTTCACTTACAGTTGCGCACTATCCACCACACATAAAATCCCAAGAAAATACATCTAATGTGAAAAAGTTTGAGTGGCAAAATCGTCTTTGAATGTAGGGGATCTGACAACTATTTCAGTCTAACACCTGATGACATTTTTTACTTTTTTGTAATTATATTTCTTGGATTTTTAGTTTATATCTTGTCTCATATGTGATGGAGTGACAACATGTCTGGGTGAGGTAGACAGACGGTGAATGAATGGATGGATGGATCTTGTCCACTACCATGAAAACAAAGTACCATAAAGACGGGAAACTGCTCGTTTCTTGTAAACGAGCAAACTAACAAATTCAGCAAGTCAGACAATTATTTCCACTCACATTAAACGTTGATTTACAATGACGTCTCTCCGCCAATCCAAGATAAGGAACACCATAGAAACCACACCGGTTTTCATAGAATCGAGGCCTTCAGCCTCGTCGCGACCCAAACGCTGATCACGCTACATCATCGAGACACCACGCTCCGCCTTATCAGCGATATTGCTCACTCTAACATTTCCTGGTGACAACAGTGTTAACTGGAGCGAGCAGTCCCGGTGTCCGCAACGCAAACACCACTCAATCTGTTGACCACGTCCGCGTTTTGCAAGCCGGGGCTCACTCGCGGCCATCGGAGGCCGCGTTGCGTTCAATTGGCTTCACACGATTAGCGCGTGTCAACATTGAAACACCGCGAGCCAGTTGACTCCTTTCCACTGCTGCCATGGTTACAGTGCAGAACGCTTTGCTCTATTTTTCATTTTAAAAAAATTTGATTTTTTGCTTTTTACACTATTCTATTTAAAAAATCTAAACTTAAAAAGCATCTTGATTTCGAAATTAATTTTGAACCTTTCACCATTTTCTCCTGTCAGTAATCCTCTAAGGAAGGCTTTCTCCCCAAAATCAGCATGCGGGTCAGGCAGTCGGCTCTCTCCAGCAGCCGACAGTTGCCGGGCAGTTTGTCCGTGATATTTGTCAGGCTGCAGTGGGAGGCACCCACCCAGAGCCAGGTGACTGCTGCTGTCACGCCGCGGAGTCTCTCTGGTCGGCGGGGTTGGATGGGGGGCTTCCTGAGGCCAGCTGCCACTTTCCCACTGAAGCCTTGAGCTGATTTGGACTGGTTTCCAGAAGTGTTGTTCAGAGATACTGTTTGATGGGGTAAAAAAGAAAAAGACAAAAAGAAAAAGCTTTTGTAATTTTCTTCCACAGGTCAGGCGTTGTAAGTGAAGTGGAGTAGTTGTGAAGATGCCAGGCTGTTATTGATTTTAATATGCTCATAGGTCCAATAGCTCAGGGTACATTGAGCAATACTTGTCTTCCATTAGGAGGACTTACCTCCCCCCCCCACACACACACACACACACACCTACACACACACACACACACACACACACACGCACACACTCCTCCAACACAGCACTCTCCACCCTTCATTGACCAATCAGCATCCAGGCTTTTAGCAGCGGTCCTGTGGGCAGCGGTGGGTAAACAGTGTCTGCCATGGTGTTTGTCAGTGAAAGTTACCCAATCATTTATCAGCAGTCGGTAAGCATCTAGACAGCTGGGATCTGTTTATGCTGTTTTTTTTTTTTCTAAAATAGGATCCCCGCCCCGCTCTTTCTTTCTGCCCTCATTCCTTTCTGTACGTTTCCAGTGGAGGAGCTCATGGTGCAAGGTTGTCCTCAATTACCTTCAATCCAAGAGTCACAGAGGTAAAATACCCACCCCCACGTGTTCCCTCCTCCGCCCCCTTATCTCCCCTTCATTCAGTCCTGCCTCCCCTTCCAGCTGCTTTGTACTGTAAATTCATTTTAGGAGCAAGGCTGAGGGCAGATCCTGTGATGAAGAAACTCTAAAGACAGGGAAGAGGAGGAGTGAAACAGACTTGCTCTGTACAGTTCATGTTCTCGCACAGTGTCGCTTAGCGGCTCGTCAGATCACAACGAGCTCTCTGACTTGTTCCTGTGTGCAGCTCATCTCACTTGGGGAAGGGTTTTTTTTATTCCTGAACCTGGAAGCTGTTGCTCTCAAGAGGTGTGATACTCTAAGGTAGGTGAAAGTCTCATATATTTGGGATATACTCTACCAGTGCAGATTTTTTTTCTTTCTGGAAACTGAAAAGATCTGCAGATGTGATAGTTTTGAAGATGAAACGCCAGAATTAAGCTTTTATCATTTCAGTTCTTTTTTGCAAAGAACTGTAGTTATGAAGTACTCAGCTTTTATGTACCACAAATCTGGAACAAACCTCCAGAAAACTGTCATGTCATGGAAACACAGAGTTCCTTTAAATCAAGACTAAACATATGATGATTGCGTGTTGATGATTGCGTGTTGATGATTTCGACGATGGCACCGGACAAAATGTAACGTTTGTTACTGCTTTCTCGATTGGTGACTTTATGATGTTTTTGTGACTTTGAACTGCCTTGTTGCTGAAATGGGCCATTCAGATAAACTTGGCTGATTGATATTACTTTTGTGTTATTGTATTAATGAGCTGCTAGGACTCAAACTCCACGAAATACAACATGTCAGGATGGTTTTTGTTGTCAGGATGGTCAGTTCTGCAGGTTCAAAGAAGCAAAGCAAATGTCTTTACAGAAACATCCTCATTTAAAAACTTGTAACAGTGCAAATATCAAGGCTGCCTCTGTGCAAATGGAAAGAGGCACAGTAATTTGCAGGAAAACTGCGTCGAAAGAGGAATTTGCAGTTTCTTGCCCCGTGTGTAATTGGAACAGCAAGCTGCTGGAATGCTCCACACTCTCGCCGTTTCATGAAAGCAGCTCTTTGAGTACTTAGAGTTGCACTATGACCCCAAACAATAGTCGGACGGGAGCCGTAGAGTACGAACTTTACCAGCTCTCCGGGACTTGGCAGCGCTCCTCCAGTGCACGTCACAGTTTGTAGGGTTAACATCCCTCGGTGTTCACACGTTATGTAACTCGCCTTTCAACGAGTCTCAGTAGAACGGGGCTGTAAGAACCTGAAAATGCAAAGCAGATGGAGCCGAACCCGAGCTGCTCCCCAGCACCCGACCCTTCATGTTCACGGGTCCGGTTCTCTTTTGCTGAGCGAGCGTTACAAGTATTGATTTGTTGATAGTTGTTATCTGCAAGCTTATTTTTTGATGTTCTGCACTGGCTTGCACTTTGATTTTAGGATATCGATCCACAGGGGTGTCAAACTCCTGTCTTCGAGGGCCACTGCCCTGCAACTTTTAGATGTGCCTCTGCTGCATCACACCTGAATAGACTAATTAGGTCGTTAACAAGGCTCTGGAGAACTTATCTTCATTCCAGTGTTTTGAACCTGTGGCACATCTAAAAACTGCAGGACAGCGGCCCTTGAGGACTGGAATTTGACACCTGTGATCTAGAATATACCGGGGGGCGTTCAGGCAGACACCCTTCACCTAACCAATCAAAACACCCATAGGAACAGGTATTTTAAATCTGTTTTTTTTTGTTTTGTTTGTCTGCCTACAGGTGACAACATGCTGAAGCAAGTCGTTTCGTTCAGCCGCTCCTTGGTGCGCAGGAAGGTGGTGGACATGAATAGCTTGGAGGACTCCAAGCTGTGCCGCTGCCTGGGAACCGTAGACCTCATTGCCCTGGGGGTGGGCAGCACCCTGGGGGCTGGCGTCTACGTGTTGGCCGGAGAGGTGGCCAAGGGAGACTCGGGCCCCAGCATTGTCATCTCCTTCCTCATCGCCGCCCTGGCCTCCGTCATGGCTGGCCTGTGCTACGCCGAGTTCGGGGCCCGTGTCCCCAAGACCGGCTCCGCTTATCTCTATAGCTATGTGACGGTGGGAGAGATCTTTGCCTTCATTACTGGCTGGAACTTAATCCTCTCTTATGTCATTGGTGAGTTTTTTGGGGGGGTTTTGTGACAAATGTCTCCTGACTTTAAGAAGAGAGAGCGTGGGTATTCTTAGAGACTGACCTTTGGTTTCTTTAATCAGGTACGTCCTCGGTTGCCAGAGCTTGGAGTGGCACATTTGACGAGATGACTGGTGGACACATCGAAGTTTTCTGCAAAACCTACTTCAGCATGAACTCTCCTGGCTTGGCTCCGTATCCTGACTTCTTTGCCGTGTTCCTCATTCTGCTGCTCTCTGGTAAGCACATCAGCGCTGGCCGCTCATCTCAAAATTCCCCTTGAATGCACTCATACAGAGGCTTCAGTGAAGGGGACGGAAACCGAAATCATTGCAGCTTAACTCATGATCCGAACCTGGCATAATTCAATAAGAAGCTGGCAGCACAGTGTGTGACAACAAGCTAAACATGAGGCTTACACAGTGCCTAGTGCAGTTCACGCAGTGCCTTTTGAATGTTTACAACACCCTTGAACTACAATGTCGTGGTTTTCAAACGTTTTTTAAATGAGGGTTGGGTTAGGAAATAATATCCAAAGATTTTGAGATCTCTTGGCACTCTCCTGCCTGTCATTCAAAAGAATATGGCACAACTACAAACCTACCAAATTATGGCCGACAACTTAAGCTGACAGGTCAAGTGAGGAGGACATTAATCAGAGAAGCTGATAGGGAGACAACTTGAGCTCTGGATGAGCTACAGAGACCCAGGGCTCAGGTGGGAGAATATATCAACAACTGTTAGTAGGAATGTCCCGAGGTCTGTTATTTAAACGGGCAGTGTTTTGTGAAATTGACTTTTTTGAGCTTTACATTGTGTTATAAGGTTATTACCTCATCAATAACATACCTGTAGTGTTGCCTTGATTCTTTCATGAATTTATTGAGAAATCTTTCAATCTCTCGTGGCAACAAACACTTGGGCGAATCAATGCACAGTTCCTCCCCCGGAGCTGCTGCTCCAAAGTCGAGCTTTTGCCTCACAAAGCAGCCCTACTCAGCTCCTTCAAACTAGCGGCAGCAGCAATTAGCAAACACCCGGTAGAGCTGTGCATCAGCTGAGCTCATTTCTCAGTCCAGTTGCTCCAATTGGACTGAGAACCCCTCAATAGAAGAGTGTTGATGTGATGACTTCCTGAAGGCGGAGCTTCGGAAGGAGAAGAAGCTTCTTAAAGAGACGGAGGCCCAATTTCAACATGTTAGGTCAAACTTTTGTAACAACTGAAGGTGTTAGCAAAACATGGAAAAGTTCAAGGGATATGAATGTCTTTGCAAATGTCTGCTGCATTAGGTTAATAGTAACTTGAGTCACTATTTGCTTTTTGGTTAAACTGACAAGATTAATCAAAGTTCATGGAAGACTCAAAACAGTCATGTTTCGATACATTCCTCTTGATTAAATGACATCCATAATGGGTTTTATGATTACATTAGGCCAGCAGGACTCAAAGACAATCCACCAGTGTCTGGTTGTTTTTATGTGGATCAAAAAAGCAGAATTTCTGCAACTCAAATTTAGTGAACACAATGTAAAAATCTCAAAATACCCCCTTTAAAAAAAAGTTTAAAAAATTATGACTAGATTTGTTAAGTTCTCCAGTAATCCAATGGGTAAAAACATGTCTTAAATCACAATATTTAAAGATTCAACAAATATCTGTTGCAGAGAACGGCCAAGTTTACAATTTTTAAAAATATGTTGGAGCTTTTTACAAAAGCAAAATACTCTAGTGGAGCATTGAAAGTCGCTTGAATATTTGCAGCTTAATTTTGATAAGAGTCATTTATAAAAAATAACTGAAAGGGAATCTTCATTTAAAAGCCTCAGCAATGACCTACTTAATCCTTGTGCAACAAACCAAGAGCTGTTTGTTCAGGACGCTGGCCTTGAGGACTGACTCTAAAGAGTCTGAACAGTTTGGACTTTTTTGGCTCTCAAATGCTTGAAAACTTAATTTCAGCTTAGCTCAAGCTTTCATCGTGTTCTGTTTTACACTCTGCCATGGTTGCTCTCACCCAGGGCTCTTGTCTTTTGGAGTGAAGGAATCAGCCTGGGTCAACAAGGTCTTCACTGCAATCAACGTGCTCGTCCTCTTGTTTGTCATCATTTCTGGCTTCGTCAAAGGAGACACATACAACTGGAAGATAACCGAAGAATCTCTCGTCAATGTCACGGTAGTCACAAGGTAAAGGATTCGTTTGATACCAGTCGAGTACATTCTGTTACGCCGATAACCCATATCGCTTTGCGCGTAGACTTGTCGAAATGTGCAGGTCAGCGCCGGTCTCAGTCGTTATGAAACGACGGTATGCATGTTTCAGGAACTTGTCGGCGACGGCCAACGTGAGCAGCGATTATGGCATTGGTGGCTTCATGCCCTACGGCTTCAGCGGGACGTTAGCCGGAGCCGCCACCTGCTTCTACGCTTTCGTTGGATTTGACTGCATCGCAACAACAGGTGATTCCTGGGTC